TTTCCTGGAGAGTGACCAGTAAACAGCTGAACTCTGTTTCTGTACTGACCCCTCTCACTGGATATCACTTTCCATGTGTTTCTGTTTGTGCTGTATTTCCTCCAAATGAACTTCTCAGGTGTGGTGTGTAGGTCAGTGCAGTAACAGGGCAGCAGTACTGACCCTCCAGTGTGTACGGTGATATAAAGTGTTGTTTCACTGTTTACCAGACTGCAGCCTGCAGAAAGATATATAAGCATAAAGACTTCACCGTGAAACCGATAGTTGAGGAAAGGATGTTGAGTTTTATTTTTGACATGACCTTCACGCTTGTAGCAGAGGAGAACTTTCAGTGCCCACCAGGCCTTCAGAGTTTGTTTCTATTTAAACATCGTGCCAGTATTTAGGTTCTGCAAATATTGCAGGACTACTCTTTAGTCATTATTACATTCTAGGTGGAAACAAAATGGGTCAATTCTTCACTTGTCCAGCTGAAAATTGGCCAGTCAGAAGTTCAGTGGTATCTAGGTAAATATAGCTAAAGGAGCTCTCCTTTTGGTTAAGACTTCAAGAGTTGAAGAAAAAGCATGGCACATTAGATTAACTATCAGCATAATTATAAAGTGACAGAGGAATCAATCAATCATGTTTTGATTTCCAATAGGTGGGCCCGATGACAGCTGGGATAGACTCCAGCACCCCACTGCGACCCAGAAGGATAAGCGGTTTAGAAGACGTATGTATGTTTGTATATGTATTGTAACAGCCTTGACATCATCACAATAGAAGAACCCTTTGGTGCTATATAGAACCCTGTTCAAAAATGTTCTATATATAACCAACAACAGCACATTCTCCATCAATCTGAAAAACCCTTTAAAGATGCAAAAAACTATTTAATCATGCAAAAGTGTTCTTTGTGTGTTCTTGGTTCTGTATAGAGCCATTTTCTTTACTAAAGAACCCTTGAAGAACCATCATTTTTTAAATGTGCATTTAGGTGGTAAAGCAGATTTAAGTGTGAAACTCGCAGAAAAACAATCGGCTACCAGAATTTATGCTTGGGTTTGACAGTGATCACAATGATTTCAGTAGCTATTCCATGTTCGACCCACTTCATCCAGTTGGTCTTCAGTAAGTTTACTTTGAAATAAGCTTTAAATAGTAGTACATTGTAGACTCGAGTGCCTACAGTAAGAGAGAGAATGGTACACTCACCTTCAGCCACATGGAGCACAAGCAGCAGATAAAAGCACGCTTGCATCCTTATTGAGTTCCAGGACCCTCTCACTGCAAACAGTGACAGCACAGCTGCAGACACAAGCACTTCTACACCTGCCTACCTGCCCAACACTACAGTCCACTGAAAAGAACGACAGCTACTCCTGCACTACACCACTTCTGCTGCAAACTCCTCAAATCTACAGTCCACCTGACACAATCAGCACATACCACCGACTCTGGAACACTCTCAGCAAGATTTCACTGGACTCTCAACTTCTCTCTCTCTTTGTCCTGCACACACACATAGGCACCAAAAATAGCGAAGCTGTCTTGTCCATGTCCTGTGAGTTATCGTTTGTCACTTCCTGTGTTCTCTTTCACTACATGATGTCACGACACATAATCACACAGTCAGCAAAAGTCTCGCTCTCTGTCTCCATCTATTAATGGAAGTATTTCCATTAAGGAAATTTGTGATTATGTAAAGTATCTCTAATTCTAAACATTACAGGATGTCAGTTAAAATGCTCATACTATCACAGTAATGTTTATACTTGGAGTACATTTTGGTAGGTGGCAACCAACTCTGGACTTCTATGAACCTGTTTCATACTTCACACTCTAAAGGCCACACCATGCACTGCGACACTGACCATTCACCTACCTCTAGGCAACAGTTATTAGAGATAGTGGTAACACTTTCAATGAATGTCACCTTTGTAAGTATCTATAAACACATTTATATCATGTTATAATGCATTCATAAGGCATTAAAAACATGGTTATGAATATTTATTAAAATGAATTACACTGAGTTACACTTTATAGCTATGTTTATTATACATTATGAATTTTTATTATAATGCATTATAAGCAGTGTTAAGTTAATGCCAAGCTAATGGTGGTGTACATTGACTTTCCCCCATTCAGTAAAACACTGATGGCAGCACTAGTTTAAAATCTGACATTTGAAGCCTGTAATGTGCTTTATTATGTATGTTTTAGTGTTTCAGTAAATACTTCAGTAAATACTTCAACATGTAGCCTCACTCTTAACACTGGAGGAGGCTTTAGTACAGTATGCTTCACTTAGAGTGGACAAATATGACTTATGAGCTCTTATAATTTGTTATGATCAGTACTTATAATGCATTATGTTAACAATTCATAATGCATAATAAGCATGGCTATTACGTGTAATGCATTTTTATAAATATTTATAGCCATGTTTATGATGCCTTATAAATGCATTATAACATGTTATGAATGTGTTTATAGATGCATACAAATGTGACATTCTTTGAAAGTGTTACCGAGATAGCCTTACATACTCTAAGGTTATGTCATGTTCCTCTGCTGTTTTCCTCAGGCCTTAGTCTTCCAAATGACGTCCAGGTGAAGGAGTCAGGGCCGGGTCTAAGCTTTGGGGCGCCCTTGCTACCTGATGTACTATAAAATTTGAGGCTAAAAAATAGGCCCAGATCATCCACTGGGTTATAATTATATAAATTAATACCTGGCTAATTTGTATAATGCTGATGATTGAGTTTTAATAAGTTGATGAAGGCTGATGAAGGGTCTAATAAGTTACAATTTGAGTTCCAGATGATCTTCTCAGTATTTTCGATCCAGAGAGCTGTCTCGCAACACAATATTTCTTGCTTACCCAGCTAACTTTAAGCGACAGATTTGCTTTTAGACCATTATAAATGACCATTATACATTTCTTTTTCCTTGTATGGTGACTTTTCCTCATGTTTTGTGTTTTACGTGATTGACTTTTTGCCATAAATGTCACCCTTAACAGCATCCATTTGTTAGATTTTGTGAAGCTTGGAACTTGGAAAGTTGATGTGAACATTGAACCTGCTTCTTTAGACAGATGCAAGACAGATTCACTACTTACAAGCACTACAAGCCAAACTGAACATGACTTTGACCTTAACTATGTCTTCTTTGACTTAAAACTATGTCTTCAAGCTTTTTCTCTTTTTTTGATTAACATGATTAACTAGTTTCCTTTTCCCCCTCACTCAAGCATACTAGGCAACATAGTGGTATAGTAATAACCCAGAAATTGTTAAGGGGGCCCCCTGGTGGCCACGGGGCCCTAAGCAGCTACTTATGTCGCTTATTAGATAGAGTCAGCACTGGATGGAGCCTTACAGGCCAGGAGTCTGTGGCTCCCAGGTGCCCTGGTTATCCTCTGCTACTGACCAAATCCAGTGCACTGCCAAGTTTCTCCTCAAGTTTCTCTTCAAGTTATTTTGGTTGCCAAAAATACTGAATATGTCTGTATGTGTTCCATATAAGCGTATATTTATCAGCACTCGGTTGTTAAAAAGAGCTGAAATGAAGAGATCCCCAGTGTTCGTGCTATATTAAGGAAGTTTCAGGTGCTATCGTTAGTGAAAGCTAGTGAAATATGCAAAAGAAAAAAGAAGTTGGTTAAATCTTGCCAAAGCACTCCTCTATGTACAGCAGTGGTGTTTCTAACCTGTGCAGGGTAATGTTATCCATTAAGTTACCCAACCACTACAACTAGCAGAGAACTGAATAGGGCAAATAATACTGAAAGTATGAGCATTGGTCACTTTAAAACCCACTGATGAAACAGCACAGAAACAGACATAAAGTGTTGCTGATTTGTGATTTGTATGTTACACACCTTTATACTCCTGTCATTCCAATGAATTTTGTTCTCTGTTCTGTTAGTGGTTCTTTTTGTCTCTTTAGTGCTTTCCTGGTGTTGCTTTTCTTTTGTTTCCTTTTTTTTAATTTGCTACCTTCACCATGGATAACAATAAAACTGCCAGCTCACACTTGCATCCTGTCTTTTCATCTCTTTCATCTTCAAACATTTAACAGGGATCTCCTTTGGTAACATCAGAGAGCAACTCAGTCAAGGCCTCAGAAAAAACTGTGGATGCCCACGAGTCTGATTGCTCCTTAAAAGTAATATCCAAACAACTGAAGGTACCATGAACATCTAGCAAGTAATTATATGCAAATATAAAAATCTTGGAACCACACAGTTTCATTGAGGAGAGACTGACCAAAGTTTGGTCCAAAATGTTCAGCTGAACCCCAAGACAACAACAAAAGAACAGGTGAAGGAGTTCTACTTCTATTATTAAAAGAGCCCTATATTGCCTTTTTTGCCCTGTGTAAATTAAAAGCCCCTACTCCTGGCACAAATACCCAGACTCAGGTGGTCACTAGGACAAAAATCTAGCTTTTTGAAGAAGTGTTCTCTGGTCAGAAACTTAAATTGAATGGTTTGGCCATAATGATTGGAGCTATGCATGGAGGAGAAAGGGTGAGGCTTTTAATCTAAAGAACACCATCCCAACTGTGAAGCAGGGGGTGGCAACATCATGTTGTGGGGGTGTTTTGCTGGAAAAGGAACTGGTGTAATTTAGGACATAGATAATGTAACATATGGAGCCAAAAAAAGTGACATCAAAATCGATTTGGTTCACTGAAAATCGTTTTCAATTTAATAATAGGAAATGCATTGAAATCAAAATATGGCATCAAGAAATAATGTTTTTCAATCTGCCTTCACACTGAAACAGCATGTATATATTTATACTACAGAACAAAATAATATATGTACATAGTAGACAGAATTTTAGCTCTAGGCTGATCACACAAACAGACATGCAGTTAGCTGGTTGGCATAAAATAAAAGTTTCTGATTGGTGTGTGTGTGTGTGTGTGTGTGTGTGTGTGTGTGTGTGTGTGTGTACACATTACATGGCTAAAAATAATACTTTTACTTGTAATTGGCTTTATCTATTTTAGCCACACTCATTGCTAACAGGTCCAAAAAATAAAAAAAAGTCAAACAGTTATGTAATCTCCATTGACAATTACCAGCAGTAGAATGGGTTGTGCTGAAGAGCTCAGTAACATTCAACATAGTACTGTAATAGATAATAGGTTGCCCAGCAAGTCACGCCACACAAACTCACAGAAAAAGACCTTGCACACAAGCCTAAAATTAGTATATGCAGTGCCAAGTGATGGCTAAACTGGTGCAATGATGGTAAAGCACACCATCACTGAACTCTACTATTTTACTATGACCAAAATTACATGTGAAACTTCTCTAATCATTTTGGATAGTAAATAAAATGCCTGTATTTGTGTTGTAAACATTGCGACCTGTAGTTCCAACCACCATCACTGCACAGAAATCTAAGGACGTAAGTTTCTTAACAATGAACCATTTCACATCAAACCACTCTAAATGAGTTTACATCTCAATGATTGAATAATGCAGAAATTAGGGGGAAAAATTACATGTTCAACAAGTACATGTGGATGCGATGTTCAGGTGTCTGCATACTTTTGACACTGCAGCGAAAGACGCTATTCATTTTGTTCAATGCTGTTAATTCAGTTTGATGCTGGCGTATTCTATAGTATCTCCAGCGTCCATCAGTTTGTGTGTTGGTGTTGATGCGTTGCCGTGGTCTATAGTAGAGTACGTCACATCATCCTGCAGAAACAACAAATGATATTAAAGAATATTATTAATCACAGACCTACATGTTAGAGGAAACACATGGTTTGAATGACATCTTTTCTTGAGCTTTTCTGTGTTTGCTTAGCAGATTTACACCTACGTTCATCACCTCAGAATCATTCTGTTTTGGCAAATTAGGCAGCTTATGAACACATCAATACATATACACATTTATCGGCGGTGGGATTTCTCAATTACTATTGGAATTGAATACTTGTATTTTTACTGAAGTACCCTACAGAAGGTCATTAATACTGCTCAAAAAATCATCCGTTGCCCACTGCCCACTCTGGAAATTTCGCAAGCTCCCAGCGCCTCAGCACAGCCAGGAAAATAACCAAGGACCCCTCCCATCCTGGTCACCTACTGTTCAGTCTCCTGCCGTGTAGTGGATTGTACAGGTGCATTGAAAGCCAAACAGGTTTAAATATAGTTTCTTTCCCTGGGCTGTCAGGACTCTAAATTCCACAAAGATCTAAGAGTAGTAAACATTGGAATAAGCTTATCAGATATTAGTACTACTGCCACCTACTGACTTAAGCTTATTAGTAAAAGCACTTCTTATTCTTTTTATATTTGATATTATTAAATTTCAGTGCAATATCCTGTTCTCTTAAACTATATTAAGTGTATTTCTTAACTTGTTTGTCTTGGTTTGTTTTCTTAGATTGCACTGATTTGGAGTAGTACTCTTATTTTCATTGTATATTTTACAATGACAATAAAGGCATCCTATTTTATTCTATTATATTGTATTCTAATATATTCTGTTCTATGGTTAATGTGAAATATTTATCATTCAAAATGGTAAATTTTGATTAAAGCTGATTATCCTGTAATCTGATTGCTATAATTTTTATTGTAACTGCAATGGAACACATTTGCCTTTTTCTGTATCTTGATTACATTAATGGCATGACATGTACTTCATCACAGCCCAACCCTACATATATTGATGGACAAATCACACCCCCTGAGTGAACATGCAGTACCACTCACCTGTTTCTGCTCTGCTTTATCAGCAGGTTCTGATGGTACAGTGCAGTACAGAACCTCAGGGCAGTCCTGAATAAACACAGGTAAATGCAGTGAGACACGTTTTGTCTCTAAAAAACATCTTTTAGTACTGAAACAGAGCTTTTTTCAGATCTTACCTGTGTCTCCTGATCTCTCCTCTGTCCTGCTTTGCTCTCACAGCTGTCCATCTGCTCTCGTCTCTGAGCTGCAGAACCAAACCACAGATGCTTACACACAACAAATACACAGAACTCCAAACACTGACAGCCTGACATACTAAGCCTTTTGTGCCTGTTTCATGTTAAGTATGAAACAGATGCATGAACCTAACATGCAGTATTCCACTCAGTTTACTAAAGTTAAAGCAACTGTTGCAGCTGCTGCTCTGCCTTGTAAAACCAGTTGTGTTAGGCTCTCAAAGGACACGATGATGAAGGATGTCCGTTTAAGCGCCCATATCATGTAAAACTAATTTTTCCTTACTTTTTTCAAATAAAAGAGTTTGATGTATTATGAAACACTGCTAAAGTTTCAATACATACCCTTCATGCCCCAGTGCATATGGATCATAGATATTCATACCTAGATGCCACGTTGGGTCCAGCTAGGCACATCAACGGCACCACCATTTTGGGGCAGTCAACATGGGCTGCATTCAGTACCATTACATAGCGGCAATTTAAGAAAGATACTGTCCAAATTACACTATTTCAAGAATATTGCACTCAGAAAGTGGGATAGGATTATATAACGGAGGGAACACAGCGATCCACACTCATGTCTGTTTGATGTTTATTGTTTGTGTGATGTTTATGTGTATATATGGCTGTGTGGTTAGTGAAGCACAGAGAACCTGTTGATGTGATTGTTTTTCTCTGGTTTTATATTAAGTTTATTTCATTTAATAGTCTATGCAGGGGATCTTAACTTGATGTAGTAGTTATTTAAAGTGATGGTTAAAGCTTTGTAGCTCGGTTACAGTAAGCTCTAGTATTCCTTAATCCGTGTAGATATTCATAATAGATTGAAGTTAGCTTCTTATTTGCCAGGTTCTTTTTCAAATTTTCACGTTTCACCTTAAATGGTGAATCAGCCAGCTTCTTGTTCGAATTTTCCCATTCCACCTTAAATGGTGCAGCTTCAGGCACCAGAAAGTGACTGCAGCACTGTTTAAGGTGGAATGGGAAAATTTGAACAAGAAGCTGGCGAATTGGAAGCCAACTTTAGCTTCATGCTTCTCACTGTGTTTTTTGTATTTTTTTTTTTGGGGGGGGGGTATTTTATTTTAGAGTAAATATTTTTCTGCTGGTCTGGATGGCTAATTAGCATGATCAGTTATTAAAGAAATGAAAGCTACTGAAAGCAACTTAGATTAATCTATGCCTGAGGATTATGACAAAACAAATTTGGTGAAAATCGGTTGAGTATTAAGAAAATTGCTGCCGATTTAATCCTGAGACTCTTCGTCTCTCAATACAAGCAAATTTGTTCACAAGCGGATCCTGACTGCTCCAACATGGCGGACGCGCAGACGTATGACCTCAGATAGAGATAAACAGACAATGCGGCAGGCTAGGTCTGCATATCTATGATATGGATCATATATTAAAGTTTTTGTGATGTCATGAAAACCAACACATTTGCATATATCCACATATTCAGCCTACGCCAGTTTACTTTGGTAGTAGATGATACACAGTTTGCCTGATAAACTGCAGTGCTTTAAATTCAAGGACATTTTGCACTGCACCTCCACTCATACATACCTCTGGAATTGTGTGTGTGTGTGTGTGTGTGTGTGTGTGCGTGTGTGCGTGTACCTCGGTATCTCCAGTATATGACCCCTCCGAGTACCAGCAACATCAGCAACCCCCCCACAGCACCATAAATCAAGAAATCATGCCTATTTGGTGGGCTGGTTGGACCTTTGTATGTAAAATGAAAAGAAAGAGTTATAAACATTTATATAATAATGTGTAAGTGGGTGCGAGATGTATGTATATACACTTGAGTGCTTTTGATAGAGTTAATGGATCCTGACCATTTCTGGCCTTGACCACTGGAGTAGAAGTTTTAGTAGCTTTTGTTGAGGCCCCTGCATGCAAAGAAATGTTGGAATGAACTGCATATAATAAAGCATTAGTGTCCATCTCGAAAGGGTCAAATGCAGCTTTTATTTTTAAAAATATATTAACGGACATGTACATTATAAATCTTTGTTTAAAACCAGACCCACAAGGTTCATGGCAATTGGAAGTATTTTAGATTAAATCTTGTTAAAAGAGTAACTTGGAATGTGGATAGTGACACTGAAAATAATGTTTACCTTCAACAGTGAGTTTGATGCCTCTGTACTCATCTTCGTTAAGGTCACACCTATACCATTCTCCATCCTCTTCAGTCAGGTGTGATATGAGTAGAGAGAGATTTCCTGGAGAGTGACCATTGACCAGCTGAACTTTGTTTCTGTACTGACCACTCTCACTGGATATCACTTCCCATGTGTTTGTGTTTGTGTGGTACTTCTGCCAGGTGAATGTCTCAGGTTTAGCATATAGGTCAGTGCAGTAACAGGGCAGCAGTACTGACCCTCCCGTATGTGCTGTGACATATGATGATATTCTGCTGTTTTCCAGAGTGCAGCCTGCAGAAACATGTATCAGTAAGGGCTATTTCTTTTTTGATCTTGTTATACTGCTTTGAAATTCATGGTTCAAAGTGAAAACTCAACAATACTGAACAATGTGGTTTATTTGTAAAGCTAATCAACACAACAAGTACTCTTAATTAATAGAAAAAGAACATGCCTGTTATTAATGTTATTTAATTTGAAAAGCACTAGTAATAAATATTTAATTTTACCCTTAACAGTGAGCCTGATGAGTGTGTGTCCACTGCCTTCAACAGCACATGTGTAATCTCCTCTATCCTCTTCAGTCAAGTGTGATATGAGTAGCGAGAGATTTCCTGGAGAGTGACCATTAACCAGCTGAACTCTGTTTCTGTACTGACCACTCTCATTGGATATCACTTCCCATGTGTATGTGTTTATGTTGTGTTTCTTCCAGGTGAATCTCTCAGGTGTGGTGTGTAGGTCAGTGCAGTAGCAGGGCAGCAGTACTGACCCTCCTGTATGTGCTGTGATACTCAGGTAAGTTCCACTGTTTTCCAGTGTGCAGCCTGCAGAAATATATATGAGCAGAAATACCTCTCTTTGAAACCTACGCTGCTGAGGTAATTTTTTATTGATTTATTCATTTTTTAATCATGATTTTTGGTCCCTTTAAGGAGCCCAGAAGTTGCAGATGAGCCATTTAACCCACACCAGTGCACCAAGTTAAGACTCACACTTGGAGGAAACTGTAGGTAAATGGCTGAGTGTTTAATTACACTTAATTACACAGCCTAACTTCAGCATGCAACAAAGCAAAACACAATTTTTCTTGGTGGTTTTTCTCGATGTCTTATAGAGCACTGCACCACTGCTGCCTCAGTCAGTCAATAGAATATGACTGCAGCCACCACTTTCATGGTCTGTCACTCCCACAGCCACCAGTGCCATTCTCATGGCTTTGAAAGAGACATATGCACAGATGTGACACATTAGCCTCATTAACCAGAGAACAACACTTCTTGCTTCTGAGTGTACCTCAGAAATGATACTAATACTGATGACGTATTCAGATGTCTTTGTAGTTTGTAAAGTCAAAAAATTGTTATATCACCTATGACCTAATCATAATGACCACTAGACTGTATTGCATGCCACCTTGGTCTGCTAAATTTACATGGATTATATACTGGCTGTTGATCCTTGGGTAATTTAGGTAACATGGAACTTTTCAGAGTTTACCACTGATATTGATATGTCTTTATCAACTGTTGAGCGCAAGCTCCTTGTGCTAAACTTTTTCTGATCAAAATGTTCAGACATTTACAAACACACAGCCAAATACAACTTTTCCCTTCAGTGTTCTGTCCAAAACACATGTACCCCAGCTCCTAAGCTAGAACATGAATGTGAATTCAATGTTTACACAAACCTGAACATGAAAATCACACAGTTTGCATAGAGTGATCACATTTTCCAATTTTTACCAATGTCTAGTGAGAGCAACAGTGGCAGTATGTTCCAACCAATGAGTGATATATCATATACACCGATCAGGCATAACATTATGACCACCTCCTTGTTTCTAGGCTCATTGTCCATTTTATCAGCTCCACTTACTATATAGGTGCACTTTGTAGTTCTACAGTTACAGACTGTAGTCCATCTGTTTCTCTGCATACTTTGTTAGCAGCAGTGAAGTGTCTGATCCACTCAGACCAGCACAACACACACTAACACACCACCACCACATCTGTGTTACTGCAGTGCTGAGAATGATCCACCACCCAAATAGTACCTGCTCTGTGAGGGTCCTTGGGGGTCGTGACCACTGAAGAGCAGGGTACAAGGGGGCTAACAAAGTATTCAGACATGTTCAGACTTTGATATGCAAGGTATCGATCATGAATTCACTTAAAATCATATCTTATGAATGTGGAAATGGCAACATTTTATTACTGTAACTTGTAGGTAACATGAAGTGACTTCTAGAGTTTATTGCTTTAATAAAGAAATTAAGAGGTTAATAAGAGATCAGTAAATCTCCACTACTTCTGTTCTATATGTGTTCCAATTGTATTCATCACTAACTAGAGACCAAAAAAGTGCCAAACAAGTTTTCACTAAGTCAGTTTGCCATGTTCTGAAGTAAAAGTCATATTGATTTTTTTTTGTTTGTCGTTTTTTTGCCATTTACAGTTTGACCCCTACAAACAGTAGTGCCTGCCTGCCAAATAAAACCTAAAGCCTCTAGCTTTATACAAAAATCTTTAATTTTGACATTTATGCATTCTCAGACAAAAAAAAAGTTACTGAACTGTTACTGAGGCGGTACCTTCAAGCATATGTCTTCAGTACCTTTAGTTTGGTAATGTATTTCATTACATTTATATATTTTATGAGATGCATCAATTCCATACACTTTGTCTTGACTACAGGCTTTTTATTTTATTGTTCTGTTTCAAAACATTAGGTTAGGACGTCATCAAACTGTGACATCAGCATCAGCGAGTAATCCGTCCTTCGTGTTGCTACAAGGTGTAAAAACATTTTATCCACCTGTGACAAACCATCAGCCAGTAATCCAGCTCCAAAATCACCCGAAATCCACTCTCTACTATTATATTTTATCTCTGCTTTTGGCCTTCATGTTATAGACAAAGGGTTAAAAATTGTGACGTGATTCACACACCAGAACACTCAGCAGACCTTGCCTGGCTAGCCAGAGTGAGAAAACCCAGGACTAACCAAACACCAGCCAGAAATCAGCAGGACTTATGGAGGTTCAGCGAAAGTTCAGTCAATAATCCAGTTCAGAAAACAACCACACTGCTGCCAGTGTGATACGAGCAGATAGAGATTTCCTTGAGAGTGACCATTAACCAGCTGAACTCTGTTTCTGTACTGACCACTCTCACTGGATATCAGAATCTGGAAGATGAATCTCTCAGGTGTGGTGTGTAGGTAACAGTGCAGTAGCAGGCCAGCAGTACTGACCGTCCTGTATGTGCGATGATAAAAAGTGAGGGGCAAACACTTTTTCACAGCACCTTGTGAAGAGAACTTATGCAAAATATGAAACAAAAAGATGTAATAAGCACAAGTTTCTCCTGTTTATTTCAATATAGAAAAGTGACGATTGACAGCTGACAGTCATATCTTTGCACTGTTAACCTAAAACTACTAAAGTATAGAACTAAAATCTAAAAAATAAATATTTCATTTTAAATATATAAAATGTTATTGATTATTTGGTTATCAGAATTTGTAGCCCTCTGAAATTGGCAGCAGTATCAGCTACAACATTTTCAGTCAGTCAGGCCCCTCACGCTCAGAATGGTACCTTAAATGATACATCTCAGTACCTTTAGCCAGTGAACATAACTGTACCATAATCCATTGAAACCATATTTTCTAAGCTGTATCAACTCCACACACCCCGTCTCATCTTCAGACTTTTTATTTTAATGCTCTAAACATTAGGCTGTGAAAAGGTACAAAGCTGCACTCTTCACCTGGGAAAAACTTATATAAGGTTCACAGTAGCTTGTAGCTCTACCTAGCTCCTCCATACAGTTAAAGGCTACACCAGTTTCACAGTTGGACCTTAAAACCACTGTTGTACCTTTAAGGGTACATTTACATTGTGTTTACCATGATGAAGGAAAAATGCACTGGTACAGCACCCTTTTTCTGACAGTGTACTACCAAATGATTTTAGCTGCTGTCTTCATTTCCACACCAACAATACAACTACAGCATGGTTTTGAGCCTTAACTGTTACTACATTATATATTGGAGTATCAACAGTAGGAATGGCACACTCACCTTCAGTGACATGGACCACAAGCAGCAGATAAAACCCAACCTGCATTGTTCCTGAGTTCCAGAACCCCCTCAATACATAGAGCGACAGCACCTCAGATACAGCTACTTCTACACTTCTACAAACCACAGTCTGCCTTACATAATCAGCACATGACTAAGATCTGTAATGCTGTACCTCCCTCAGCAGAACTCTACCACACCATAATGTGTGACAGCAAAGAGGAACTGTGATTTCTCTGTCTCACATTTTCACCAAATATAGTTAAGCGGTAGAGTCCTGCATGTTTTCACTTGTTATTTCCTCTTTTTTCACGTTTAAAACATCATGAACCTCAAACATACATCATCAGTGCAAAAACTCTCTTTCTCTCACTTCTCCTGTCCCCGTCTGCATTTGTCCCCTTTATGTGGAAATAGGGCACTTCAGAAAATGACATAACATATAAACACCAAAATAAAGCATGACATGAAATCCCATATGGTTCATTGAAAATCACTGTCAATTTAATAACAGCAAAATGCACTGAAAAAAGTACATAAAAATAACTAGTTATAAGTTGTTTTTTTTTCATTCAGCTTCCAAACAACATTTACTTTACAGATTTATACATTTATACCATAGAGCAAAATACTGCTTGCACATAGTCGACAGAATTTTAGCTGTAGGCTGACTGCACAACAAAAATGCAGTTAGCTGGTTAGCATACAATAAATGTTTCTGATTAGCAACTAGGATTGTTAGTATGGGTGTTTGTGTTTCACTGTGTGTGTATGTGTGTGTGTGTGTGTGTGTGTGTGTATGCATTACATGGCTAAAAGTATGTGGACATTAATTGCAGTTGAAATGAAATTTCAACCACACCCATTGCTAACAGTTACAAAAAATAAAGTGGAAATAGCCAGAACCCTTATAGGAAAGTCTGTTCACTCTGCAGCCATCTTCGCAACACCGATGGGTAGTTATTTCCAGTCATAGAAACCAGTATCCTACCTCTTTGAATGGGAGAGAACAAAATAGTCAAAACTGAAGAGCAATGTTCAGGTGTCCACATAATTTTGACCATGCAGTGAATGATGCTATTAATTTTGTTTGATGCTAATTCAGTTTGATGCTGGCATATTCAGTAGTTTCTCCAGTGTCCATCAGTTTATGTGCTGGTGTGGATGCTTTGCTGTGGTCTATAGTAGAGTACGTCACATCATCCTGCAGGAATAACAAATAATATATCAAACATATTAAGTGCTGTTAATCACAGACGTACATGTAAGAGTAAACACAGGGTTGAATGACACACCTTTTCTTGAGCTTTTTTGCGTTTGCTTTGCAGATTAACACTCGCGTACATCACCTCTGAATCGTTCTGATGAAAGACAAATTTGCCAAATTAGGCACTTTATTAGCCTATTAAAACACATCCACATTTATTTGTGAAATTATGCTTATACATATTCTGGAAGATTTGAACTTTAATCCAATACTACTGGAATTGAACATTTGTATTCTTAATTAAGTACTTCTCCAAAGTAAAAAGACATATTACATATTATTTTAACTTTGTTCATTTATATCTTGTACAGAGTACAAATTTCAAAGGTCAGAAGATTTTTCTCTTTTTTGCTCGCCACTCCTCTTTATTGAACATGCAGTACTACTCACCTGTTTCTTATCTGCTTTATCAGTAGGCTCTGATGGTATAGTGCAGTACAGCACCTCAGAGCAATCCTGAATGAACACAGGTAAATGAAATGATGCATGCTTTGTCTCTGAAGAACATCTTACATTACTGAAACAGAGCTTCTCACCTGTGTATCCTGATCTGTCCTCTGTTCTGTTTTGCCCTCATGATTGTCCATCTGCTCTCGTCTCTTAGCTGCCGGATCAAAACACATACACATAGCAGCTGCATAGAGCTCTAAACAATAAGGGCTTGACATACTAAGCATTTGGCCCCAGTTTAATGTATGAAGTATGAGGTCTGAGCAAACTGTGGGAGGCTTGTGAAAAAAGTAGGTGGAGATATTACACATGCAGCTGATTACAGTGTTCCAAAGGATGTGTTGATGACAGCCAATATCATCTAAATTGTATTTTTTTTTAAATAAAAGACTCTGATGTAGCATCTAAACATAGTCAGTTTTAAAATGTATCCTTCAAACCAGCTGCAAAAAGGATGCATTTTGAATCATTTTTATGATATCATGAAAACCAACACGTTTACAAATATCCACTTCTTCAGTCTACAGCAGTCAGTCCTGCCCATTACTGGCTGTGTTTACATGCAAAGATTTTTGCCAATCCGATCTGATGGAAAATCTCCATTTACATGCTCACTACAAGTAATCCGATCCAAAATGACACACATGCATAGAGTATCACTTAGTGTAGACGTTACCATGACAACGAGCATCACATGAATCCAGTGAGAGTGAGATAAGTTTTCATTTGGTGCGCTTGTGTTTTTAATTACTTTAAAATGATGTCAGACTCAGGAAAATGTACTTCACGTGTACTTATTACAGGCCAAGAGGAAGACGTCACATTCTGACACACATAAGCTGGACACCCGTCCCACCGCCATCTTTTAAAGATCAAAGCATTAACTTCGTCTACTCTGCAGACCAGTTTCTGCTCCACCATGTTGAATGTTATAAACTTTCACTATGACGTGATGCACATGCGCAGAACATACTTACATGGGAATGTAATCAGGTACAGGCATTTACATGGATATTACTCTTCTATTTAAAGGATTATTTACAGGATTACCCACCTTGTTCAATCAGATAAAAATTGTATTCTGAATGGCCTGAATCGGACTAGTCTATTCCGAATGAGATGTATACATGGACGTATTCTGTTCCGACTGAGTTATTAGTCAGATTTTTAACTGAATAATTAGACTGCATGTAGATGTGGCTATTGTTGAAGTTTACTTTTTTGCATTTACATGTGATCATTTGCATAAGTCCTTATAGGTGTAACAAAAACAGCCTGTTCGATTCTTAAGGATAAGAAAGGTTGTAAAATGGTTATGTAAAAATGAATTATGACTTTAGCACATAAAACATCACAAATCTAGTAAATGGACCTCAAGAGGGAAAAAAAGAAAATACTGGAAACAGTAGCAACAGACATAGTGGCTAGATGGAGCAGCTAGCCTTCAACATACGCAGAATGTTTATAGTCAAAACTGTTTAACTCTAGGGACCATATGTGCAAAACATAATGAAAATTCACTAGAAAGCAGTTAGTGGGTGGGTCTGCAAGCAGTCTGTGTGATAAGCTGCAGAAGAAACCTATTAAATCAGAGGCATTTTGCACTGCACCTCCACTCATACATATATCTAGAACTGAGTGTGTGTGTGTGTACCTCTGTGTCTCCAGCAGATGACCCCTCCGATTAGCATCAAAAGCAGCAAACCCCCCACAGCACCATAAATAAAGAAATCAGAGTATGTATTTGTTTGGGTGTCTGGGTCGGGTGGATCTGTATAGGAAAGAAGAAAGGGGTATAAACATGTATGTAACTCTGTGTAGGAAGGTTAAATATGCGTACACATGTAATGGCATGCTTTTAGTGAAGTTAATGGATCCTGACCATTTTGAAAAGGCATCATTGTAGAAGGTTCAGCTCTGCTGTAGACCACTGGAGTAGAAGTTTCAGTCGCTTTAGTTGGGGACCCTGCGAGCAAAGGAAGGTTGAAATGAGCTGCACTTATAAAGCATTAATGTTTGGTGTGAGTTTTGTCGTATGGACCCATGTCCAACTCATACTAACAAATATTCAGTATCATACATATCAGTGGTGGGTGATATCTTAGGGTGTTTTCACACTTGGGCTGTTTCTGTGACTTTCAGAACTGTTAGCTGCATAACAGAATGGGCAGTTATTATTCTCCTACAAGTGTGTTAAGTTTTCCAAAGATGTTACATTAGCAGTAGTTTGAATAGTTAAATAGGTAAATGATATTTGTGATAAGAATTGTTGAAATATGACAAATGAATTTTCTCATAGGATCAAATGGTGCTTTAATGCATTTAATTTAGATGAAAATATATATTAATGGACAAATACAATATATAAAAGTGCATATTATTGACCAAATACATCAGCTGCTTGACATATGTGTAGATGCCAAATGAGTAAAATTGACAAATGAGTAAAATGTGACACTATAAATCTGTGTTGAAAACCAGACCCACAAAGTGCAAATCAGACAGAAGTGTCTCAGATTAAATCTTGTGTATCCTGCTACCACTAGGAATGTGAATAGCATAAAAATAATGTTTTACCTTTAACAGTAAGTTTGATATCTTCGATATATTCGATATCACACCTGTACACTCCTCTAATTTAAGGTTTATTTCTTCTATTCTGAATCTATCCTTTATAATCAGGTCTTGGAAATATTTTTGTATTTTCTTATTTGTAAAGGACTTTGAATGACCACAGTGTATGAAAGGTGCTATTTAAATAAACTTGCCTTGTCTTGACTTGTCTTCAACAGTGATCAGCCTAAAATATATGTATTCACTGTTTTTAACGTTACACTGGTAGTCTCCTCCATCCTCTTTGGTCAGTTGTGATATGAGTAGAGAGAGATTTCCTGGAGAGTGACCATTAACCAGCTGAATTCTGTCTTTGTACCGACCACTATTATTGTATATGATTTCCCATGTGCTTGTGTTGTATTTGTTCCAGGTGAATGTCTCAGGTTTGGTGTGTAGGTCAGTGCAGTAGCAGGGCAGCAGTACTGATCCTCCTGTATGAGCTGTGATTGGCAATGTTGTTCTGCTGTTTTCCAGAGTGCAGCCTGCAGAAACACATACGAGCATAATTACCTCTCTTTGAAAGATTTTTGCCATCTTTGTGCATACAGGAGCATGCACTGCACAGCATATGGCTCATGCAACCACCAGTGCCATTCTCATTGCTTTTACAGATACGTATATGCAAATATAAAGTTCTCATGGCTCTTTACATTCACTTTATTAACGTTTATTTCTTAAAGTAAAAGAAAAGTCTAGTGCCTGTGAGAGTGACACTTATTGTTTCAGAGCCCCAGATACCCCAGTACCACTACTGATGGTGCCTTCAGACATCCTGGTGAGTGTGTAATGTCAGAAAATTGTCACATCATCTGTCACCTAATCATAATACCTGTTGTTTGTATCTGAGTAGAAAAAAAAAAAAATTATAGGCTGTGAAATTTGGTAACTTTATTTTGAGTGGTCCTTTGTAGATGATTAATAAATTCTTAACAGAGTATCAGTAACACATCAACAACATATCAACACATTGGACCTAATCGTAACTCTAACCTTAACCTCAACCCAAAAACCTAATCCTAACCCTCAGCCTGGCCCTAATCCTGACCCTAACCTTAACCTCAACCCAAATCCTAATCCTAACCCTCACCCTGGCTCTAATCCTAACTCTAACTTTAATCAAGCCCTAATCCAGATAGTTTCCAGTCAGTGCTGTCAGTGTATCTATAACAGCTTGTTGAGGATGTTGAGATGGTCTGTATTAAATCTGTTACATGTTCAGTTCCTCTCAGGTTAAACATCTACAGATCTGAACTCTCCAAATAAAGTGAAAAACAACTGAATTCAGTAGATTATAAAACTAATTTTATTTGCACAGTAAGTCTCTTGATAATCTACTGAATGTATTCACTGCTGCTACATCATTGCAACATTGTTGATGTGTGTTTATTTCATGTAAAAAGATGTACTCAAAGTGTCATCAAAACTTCTATTCATTACATGCACACTTGATGTTATAATTTTTACCCTCTATGATGCAGAAAATATCATAAAAGTGTGATATATATATATATATATATATATATATATATATATATATATATATATATATATATATATATATACATATATATATATCACAGCCCTCATAGAACCTGCACTGATATCAAACAGGTAGGGGCCCTTGAAACATTAGTCCCCAGGGGCCTATAACTTCATGATCTAGACCTGTACAAGTCCTTTATGACCTAGTAATGGTAGAACTGACAATTTTGGTGATGTTTTGTCTGCTGTTATATGTAATTTGTGACAGTGGATCAGAATTTTCAGATTTGTAGCTCACTACACCCTTAAAAATGGTTCTTCAAGAGTTCTTTAGTGAAGTTAAGGGTTGTATACAGAACCATAAAAACTAGAGCCATGCACTTACAGGCAAAAGACCAACGTAACAAATGTAATGGACAGGGAGCCGAGACAGGATACAGTAGCAGTGTGGTACAGTGCAGTCATAAATCAGTGATCAAGCATTTTGTCATCGTTTCCACTTACGAGGGAGCTGTTTTGTACCCCTACTAAATTTGGCTACCCTTCATGCCAGGGTACCAAGCGCAATAGTCATGTGGTGTCACAAGCAAGTCAAAATCACTTTGTTTGTAGTTTAGTTTGTAACTAATTGCAGAGTCAAGTGTCAATCAAAACTTCAAGCTTCTCCATTGTTGCTACTATTATTTGTATTTCCTGTTAATGCTAGATTCGTGTGAGAAATAATGTGACCACACAAACAGTTACATAATGGAAAATGGTCACATGTACTCGACTTGGGGCCTGTCTCACAAAGCAAGTTCAACTTAAGCAGGGTTTACACAAACAAACAAATGGAACTGCAAATATTTTGTTTTACAATATACTTTCAGGCAATTAACAACTTTCTCTGTTAATCCAGGCTTAGATATCCAAGCTATGATTAATCCTCATAAATGTGCACAAGAAAGACATTTATGTTGAACAGCCAATCAAGTGAAATGTGAGGAGGATTTAAGTGTAAATATGTGGAAAGTAAAGCACTTATAACAGTTAAAATACAGTCTTGACTGTAACCATCTTAGTGCTTTTTAGATTAATAACAGTACTTCGTTCTTAATATTTTTGCAGTATGATTTGCTTCCTCTGCTAAAAAAGTGATGTTCTTCACATGATCAACAGCACAAATGTCATGAAGAAAAAAAAGGGGGCCAAATTTGGGTCCATCTCTGATGAAAAAGGATTTATACATAAATTTCACCTCTTATAAAAAGTACTCAGTATAAAATAACAGCTCTGTATGGCACAGGAGTGTGATCTCCCACATGCAGGTCAAGAAGGAAAACTAATAATAAAAAAATAAGAATTATAAAATAAAGTAAGGTGCATAAAGATACTCATGTCAAATACATTTTTGTTTCTAAACCAACACTAAAGCCATCCCATATTTTTGCAACATTATTTAAAGGATTGTAATTGGTAAAAGTCAGTTTGCTAGAAACAAAATTCATCTATTGTCAATGGATACAGTGTTTCTCAGGCCTGGCTCTGAAGGCCCTATACCTTTAAGTGCTTTCCTTGCTTTGACACACCACTTCAGCTCAGTAAGGGCTTGTTAATGAGCTGGTTAGTTGGATCAGGTGCCTTGGGAAGAAGGAAAACAATAAACTGTGAGTAGGTTGCCTCCAGGCCCAGGTTCAGAAAACACTGTCCTAACATATACGCAACAGTTTCACAGATAATTAAGTGATGCTCTGTACTAACATTAATTAATATAATTTTTTTTTTCATATTATTGGTCCAAACTAGTGGTCTAGCTCGAAATGGTTTTCAACCACTTTTACATCATGAGTAAGGTTACAGCATGATTCGAAATAAATTGTCCTGTATTATATCTTCTACAGTAGTACACTCACCTTCAGCAATGTGGAGCACAAGCAGCAGATAAAAACAAATCTGCATTCTTAATGAATTCCAGAACCTCCTCACTACATACAGAAACAGCACTGCAGATAGAGCCCCTCCTATACCTGCTCTTCACTACAGCCCACTGAACACTCTCACGACCACAACAACACAACAACACAACGCAATGCATTACACAACAGACCACACCCGAATGTGCACAAACCAGACAGGAAACGCATGCAGATCAACCATCCACAACTCTTTCCTGTCTTTCTCCCACACAGAGAATATAGTGATGCAATAGTGTACTGGTTCCTCGTTCCTCTCTCTTTCTTCTCTTTCAGCACAAACATATACAATTTGTGTTAACTATCACTGAAGCCCTGTGCCTAATTCACTCACTTGTGTGCACACAGTATGTAAATGTAAGTATTTACATACATTCATGTTCATAAATACAGAAACAAAGTGTCTGCCTACATGCTAAAGGAAACCACAAAAACCTAAGGCCTCCATTCGAAAATTGGTCATTTTGAGATTTATGCACTCTCAGGAAAACAGTTACTAATCTGTCCATGAAGTGGTAGCCCCCTTGTCACTGAGGTGGTACCCTCAAGGGTATGTCTTCAGTACCTTTAGAGTTAGTGAACATATTCTGTTACAATTATAATTCTTAAGTTGCGTTGGCCCAGTACACATTATCTTGATGCCAGGATTCTTTATTTTATTGCTCTGTTTTAAAGCTGAAGCTTATGAACAGGTACAAATATGTAATTTTCCATGGGGAAAAACTTATTTAAGGTACACCATTGGACCTTAAGACAGTTGTTGTACCATTGAGGGAACATTTACATTGTTTTCACCTTGACATGACCATATTTACCCAGCTCAGTAACATAACCCAAAGCATATTAGCCGCTAATGACGAACTGGACATTAAGGTAGAGAAGGAAAAAGCAGAGGACTCACCTTCAGTAAACACTGTAAGGAGAAGAAAAATCAACACCTGCATTCTGACTTGAATCCACTCATAAATCGAAAAGCTAATTAAAGCTACACACAGTGTCTTACTGCTGCACTGTGTCTAAATATAACAGCAGTGCTCTAAAGACCACACTATGCCATATACAGCTGATTCACACATCATTTCACCACAACAGGAAGAGCAACCTTTGCATCACATGGTTCACTAAGGCTGATTGGAGACAGCAGGAGAAGTGCGGAAAGGGGATGTTGCGTAAGTGCATGAGTAGTCAGAGGCAAATAAGCAATAATGAGTTAGATTAACAATAATGACTTTAATTTGTATAGCACTTTTCTCACAAATATTTTTAATATAAATATGATCTAAAATATGGCCAAATTTTCATTTAGGTCATAGCAATAGATAAGGAGAACTCAATTAAGCAAATGACACAAATATTTATGTATTTTTTTAAATTCACTTGTTGAACAAAGAGATCCATTATTAAATGTTTTTGTTGGCTAAGGTATGTGAACCTCCAGAATTATCAGTTTTGTATAGGTGATAAATAGGGTCAGGAGGTTCAATGAACTGGATGACAATCAGGGGCTATATTACAGAACCTTCCTATCTTTTTGTCTTAACTTAAGATCTGACAGGTCAAGATAAGATTTTTCAAAGCAAATCCTATATTAATTTAAGAATCTTATCTTACAGCATCTTGTCTTATCTCAAGTTAGAAAATCTTAACTTTCTCAATTGAAGTCGACAATCAACTGTCGTGTCTGTAACCTAGCAACCAACCATACGCACACAGCTGAAATCAAGTAGTTAGCCAGACAGCTAACGTCAACTACCATTACTGATGTAAAAAAGGTCAAATAAAACTAAAGCATGATAAACTGAAAGTTAAGAATATTGTGTCAGCGCTTTGTGCTGTTTTTACCAGAACGTTACCACTCAACAGTTTCAGTTTCATTTCCAAACACATTAGCTGAGTATGCTAACATTATTCCTCCTAATAAACAGACACACGTTCAGCTCTGTCTCTTCATTGTTCACCACCATCACTGTAATATTGTATCTAACGAGTTTGTATCAAACATTAACACCTGAAGGCAATAAGAGGGGATGGGGGAGATAGCTAGTGTCTGTAACTTCTGAGTTTTTAAAAAACGCTGTTTAAAAAAGAAAACTAACAAGTCAAAGCTTCAATGTAGATAAACATAGTGTCATTATGCTACTTATAGTGAACTTTGCTGCCTATCACTGCATAAAACAATAGAAACAGATGATTAAACCAGAAGTTAAGATGCTCTGGGGTTTATGTTAAAGTTAAGAAATTATTTAGGATATGGCAACTTAGGATGTTTCTGTAATACTGTTTTCTTACAGACTTATAGACTTAAGAACTGTTGTTCTGTAATGGCTTCTGTCCTAACATCCGTCTTAACTGAAGTTACTATGACAACAAAGCAGATAAGATATGATCTCAGACTTAAGAATTTTCTATAATATGGCACCAGGTGTGACTGACCCTAATCTATATCTATATAGGTCTGGCCTTTATTGCATACATATTTTAGTCCTCACCACATCTCAGTCAAATGAGATTTCTAAGGTCCTCAGAAAATAATTTACAAGTGTTTATTAGGCTGGAAGAGGTTCCAGTACTATATCTGATGAGTTTGGACTTCAACGATTCTCTATCAGAAGACAGTGTACAAATGGAGAAAATTCACTCCCATTGTTATTATCATCCAACAAAAAGGATTCTAAAATGACTAAAAGGTGTAGACACAGCACAAACAATCCCAGGATAACATCTAAGGAACTGCAGGCATTCGTTACATGGGCCAGTGTCAGTGTTCATTAATCTATCAGGCAAACACAGAATAAGAATAGTATGTTTGGAATGATAGCATGGAAAAATCTACTGCTCTACAGGAAGAACATTTCTTACTTTTTACTATTTTCTGAAGGCCACTGAGATGAGTCAAAACACTACTGAAATAATGGTGTGTGGATGGAATAAGGCAAAAAAAGATCTTTATGGCTTAAATTAAAGATGTTGTGTTTAGCAAAACCAAACAATGCATTCCAGCATAAGAGCCTCATCCCAACTTTGAAACATGGTGGTGGCAGTTATTATGGTTTGAGGTTCTTTTGGTCCACGACAGCTTGCCATCATTTGGTGGAGCTATGAACTCTGGATTGTATTAAGACTTTGAACAGGAGAATGTTAGGGTATCCACCTGTGAAGCAAACCTGGTGTCCTGCAGAAAAACAACAACCCTAAATACCAGTTTACAAGTCTACAAAGAATGATTAAAGCAGAACAAAAAACCCAAGCAACAACAAAAACACAACACATTTTGATATGCAGACCTTTTTTCATTAAGTAAACAAACATCCAGAAACCAGGTGGGAAAAATTAAGTGTGCCATATAATTCAGTAACATGTAGAACCATATTTAGTGACAATAACATTTTCTATAGGAGTTTATCAGTCTCTCACATTGTTTTGGAGAAATTTTGGCCCATTCTTCTTTACAACATTGCTTCAGTTCATTGATATTTGAGAGCATTAGTTTATGCACAGCTCTTAAGATTCTGCCACGCATTCAACGTGGGTGAGGTCTGGACTTGGACATGGCCATTCCAACACCTTGATGTTTTTTTTTCATCTGTAGACATTCCGATGTTGATTTGCTGGTGTGCTTAGGATCATTGTCCTGTTGCATGATTCAATTTGGTCCCAGATTAAGGCTGGACAGATGACCTCACATTGTCTCAAGAATAATCTGGTATAAAGTTTTCTGGGTCCTGTGGGTACAAAACAAGCCTATATCGCTATTATGTGTTTGTGGTGATACACTGTGTTTGGTTTTTGCCAAACATGACACTGTGTGTGTTATCAAAGCAAACCTAAACCATACTGCCATATTCTTTTTAGGAAGAAGGGGCTTTTTCATAACTATCCTTCCATGAAAACCAATACTTGTTCTCTTTTTCTAATTCGTTCTATGAATGCAAACATTTAATATGTTTACAGAATCCATGTTTGGGTTATGTGATGTAGCTCTTGGGTTTTTCTCTGATGTCTGTTTGACCTTAGATTGAATTTCCTGGGACGTCCACTGTAGGGAAAACGCACACCTGTCTTAAAGCCTCTACATTTGTACATTTGGAGATGGGCTTGTAACTGTTTCCAGATTAATGAGCAGCAACAATTACTTCTCTGAGGTCCTGGCTGATGTCCTTTCTTCTTGTCATGATGTAGACACACACCTGAATGCTCCAATGCCCCAGAACACCAAACTGACAGAAGCTCTTGCACACTCCTTGATGATTAGCTTCATATGCATCTTGCACATTTAATTAGTTATACCTGACCGCTAATTACCCTCTTAATAATTATAAAAGAAGGAGGGGTGTGCTTGTTCTTTCCTATTTGTTTTCTGAATGATGGATCTCTAATCTGATTTGCTGCCTCATTCAAAAAGTAGTCTGGGTTGAAACATTCCAAATAACCTCAGCATGAATTGGTGGAGCCAAACTTCTTCAGGCTGAATTGGTGCATGTATGTAAATGTTTTGGTTTACATGTCCACAGAATTCAAAACTAGCCATTCTTTTAGATTAATGTTCATATATGGACCATATGAACTGATAAGTGAATGTTGTTTTCAACCATACCACACCCAATACTGCACACAGCACAGAGGAAATGTGATCAGATCAACTGTGCTGAGCGTTTTTTTCTTTCCCCTACACGCAATGGTGTTCTGTATGTTGCCACTCATTCCTTCCCCTTTCTTATCTTTCAGCACATGGTATGTTACATCATATAGTCACGGTTGATAACTTACTGGAAAATAACTCTCTTTGTCCATACTTATTTACACTAATCAGCCTTTTTATTAGAAACCCCTACTTGTGGCCATCCTTTAAAGCTTCCTCAGTCATCATGTGCCCACCGTCCATCAAAAAAAAAAGGTAACAAATTATTCCATAAAACATAGGAGTCAACTTATATGATGAACAGGCTGTGAAGTGGGAAACCTAAAATGGGGAAACAGGTTGCACATTTACGTATTTGCTCATTCACTTTTAGTTACATTTCGCTTTCTTAGTCTTTAAAAATTTGGAAGCACTTGGACGCAGCCTGGGGGCCCTTGTACATGGCAGTTTTAGGTCAATGAGGCCCACCGAGTCTGATGGCCAAATCAACTCTTCCACACCCAATGCTACCTCCATGGCTAACAACAGGATTCCCTTACTTTACACCCACACCAGAACGGGCCTGGGAACACGAGTGTGGCTGGGGAAAGAGGAGGTTTTCACCACTTCCTACACCTGATTTCACCTCCAGTAACTGGTTCGAAGCCCTCAGGAGTTTTAGAATTGTTTCACCTGCCTCAGTGCCTCAGACAGTGACACAGGACTGTGTTTTAGTAATCTGAGACTCCATTGTCAGACATCTGAAAGTAGTTGGATCTAGAGGTAATGCTGCTGTCTCTTGTTATTTAAGTACCTGGGTCAGGGATATACGTGTTTACGTTTCAGCTGTGTGCATGTGGTTGATTGCTTGGTAACGGGCTTGACAGATGATTGTCGATTTTCAACTGAGTAGCTTAAGATTTCCTATTTTGAAATAATATGCTATAACATATGAGAAGATTCCTAAAGAAATATAAGATTTGCTTCTGTAATACAAATTTGTGAAAAATCTTGACACGTCAGATCTTACTTTAAAACAAAAACATAGGCTATAGAGGTGTGTAATAAAACTTTAGGCCTGCTGATGGGCCCTGGCTATTTAAGGGATTAATTAAAATTCTAAATCTCTTTTTGTATTTATCTTTTTAATTTGATCTGTGTCATTATATAACTTAAATTTAATACTCATATTTGCATCTATTATTGTTCAGTATTATCACTTATCTGTAAAGCACTTTTAGCTGCCAATCATATAAAAATATGCTTGATAAATAAATATATTGAAATATTCACCACTAGTTACAAGGCAAAGTTTACTAGACAAGTCATTGTGCTTTATTAAAGGCTGTACTTGGCCACAGCCATGTCATACACAAAAGTCCTTGTCAGAATAACACTGAGAACTTACACTCCAAAAATTGCATACATAATATTATGAACGTGTTGCAATATGATGTTATTTATTTGAATTCAGATTATTATTTCCTGTACATATAATTTGATTAAATGAATAAACAATTAATTAATCTGTCAAGCAGTCAAATTGTTAATAATTAATTTACAGAACACCATCATATGACTATCATATTGCTGTTATTGGAAGAAAACCTTATATCTTTATTTTTAAAAATGGCTGTTGCCCTTTACATTGTGTGCAAAAGTCTTGATGAATGGACCAAAAGAAACGGCCCAAAATAACTTGGAAAAAATCTGGTTCCACTGACTTAAATTGAAAGTTGAAAGGAAAGTAAATTTATTATTTTGGAGATATGAGGTTTTGGTATACATATATATTTATAAAATGTTCACATTACTATGTCATAACACATTTATTCCACAATCATTATCTACTATGTAAAAGGTTCACACAATTAGTCTCATACCATATTTAACTGCCCACCATGAACAATCAGAATTGTCTTTGGAAAAACAGCACTCCACTTTGATACTTGTTCAAATCCTGTTCTGAAGGTCAGCCAACTGGTAACTGACCAACGGACGTGTTGTCAGTAGTTGGTCTGTTTACGTCTGTTTGATTTCTTCTTTGCTGTAGACTCACTGCTCCATCATTACCATCATTGCTGTGGTAAATCATGGTACCAACAGGCACTTAGGTAGTTAGGAACAAGAAATTATAAATTTATATGCAAATCATGAACATTTACACATGAAAGAACAGTAGCAAGAGTACAATGAGTTAGTTGTGCAGTTTGTACCTTTGTTTCTTTTGGTGTGATAAACCACAGCCACTATAATGTGAAGAAAGATCACAGTCACCAAGGCAAAGGGGACGAAGGGCAGAGACCGTGGAGGCTCTACAACAACATGTCCTGGCAAAAAATTGCAAGATAGAAAACAATTAACAGTAACATTTTATTTTGATAGTCCATTGAAGATACTTTGTAGCTGCTTCCTACACCTACCCCTAAACCTAACCCTATCCTTAACTTCAAGACTAAACCTACACCTACTCTTAAACCTAACCCTATCCTTAACTCCAACACTAAACCTACACCTACTCCTAAACCTAACCCAAACCTTAACTTCAACACTAAACCTACTCCTACTCCTAAACCTAACCCTAACCTTAACTCCAACACTAAACCTACACCTACTCTTAAACCTAACCCTATCCTTAACCTCAACACTAAACTTACACCTACTCTTAAACCTAACCCTATCCTTAACTTTAACACTAAATCTACACCTATTCCTAAACCTAACACTAACCTTAACTTCAACACTAAACCTGCACCTACTCCTAAACCTTATCATAACTTCAACACTAAACATACACCTACTCCTAAACGTAACTTTAACTTCAGCACTAAATGTACACCTACTTCTATATCTAACCCAAACCTGGGTGGAGCTATTCTTAAGCTATTCTTAAGTTATAGAATTGTGTAGTAAAACTTTGAGCCCACTTTCAGACCCTGGCCATTTAAGGGATTGTTGCTACCACTGGGAATGTGAATAGAAGCATAAAAATAATGCTTTACCTTCTACAAAAAGTTTGATATTTTTGTACTCATTTCCTGTAGGCTCACACCTGTAACCTCCTCCATCCTCTTCAGTCAGGTGTGATATGAGTAGAGAGAGATTTCCTGGAGAGTGACCATTAACCAGCTGAACTCTGTTTCGGTACTGACCACTCTCACTGAATATCTCTTCCCATGTGTTTCTGTCTGTGTTGTATTTCTTCCAGGTGAATATCTCAGGTTTGGTCTGTAGGTTAATGCAGGAGCAGGGCAGCAGTACTGACCCTCCTGTATGAGCTGTGATCCTCTGGTAAGTTTCACTGTTTTCCAGAGTGCAGCCTGCAGAAACACACATCAGTAAAGACCCTCTCTTTCTTGATGTTGTTACACTGCTCTGAAATTTAAAGCCCAGGGTGAAACAAAACTGACCAGTGTGGTTTATTTGTGAAGCTAACCAATATCAAGTGCTCTTATTTGATAAAAAAGGGTAATTGCAAGAATTGTGTACATTACTATTGTTATTTAATTTGAATTGCATATATAATAAAGACTGAAATGCTGTTTACCTTCTACAGTGAGGTGAATGTATGTGTGTCCAATGTCTTTAACATCACACTTGTAATCTCCCTCATCCTCTTCAGTCAGGTGTGATATGAGTAGCGAGAGATTTCCTGGAGAGTGACCATTAACCAGCTGAACTCTGTTTCTGTACTGACCACTCTCACTGGATATCTCTTCCCATGTGCTTGTGTTGTATTTCTTCCAGGTGAATATCTCAGGTTTGGTCTGTAGGTTAGTGCAGTAGCAGGGCAGCAGTACTGACCCTCCTGTATGTACTGTCTCATACACTGTTCTTCCGCTGTTTTCCAGAGTGCAGCCTGCAGAAACACACATCAGTAAAGACCCTCTCTTTCTTGATGTTGTTACACTGCTCTGAAATTTAAAGCCCAGGGTGAAACAAAACTGACCAGTGTGGTTTATTTGTGAAGCTAACCAATATCAAGTGCTCTTATTTGATAAAAAAGGGTAATTGCAAGAATTGTGTACATTACTATTGTTATTTAATTTGAATTGCATATATAATAAAGACTGAAATGCTGTTTACCTTCTACAGTGAGGTGAATGTATGTGTGTCCAATGTCTTTAACATCACACTTGTAATCTCCCTCATCCTCTTCAGTCAGGTGTGATATGAGTAGCGAGAGATTTCCTGGAGAGTGACCATTAACCAGCTGAACTCTGTTTCTGTACTGACCACTCTCACTGGATATCTCTTCCCATGTGCTTGTGTTGTATTTCTTCCAGGTGAATATCTCAGGTTTGGTCTGTAGGTTAGTGCAGTAGCAGGGCAGCAGTACTGACCCTCCTGTATGTACTGTCTCATACACTGTTCTTCCGCTGTTTTCCAGAGTGCAGCCTGCAGAAACACACATCAGTAAAAACCCTCCCTTTCTTGATGTTGTTACGCTGCTCTGAAATTTAAAGCCCAGGGTGAAACAACACTGACCAGTGTGGTTTATTTGTGAAGCTAATCAATATCAAGTGCTCTTATTTGATAAAAAAAAAGGGTAATCGCAAGAATTGTATACGTTACTATTGTTATTTAATTTGAATTGCATATATAATAAAGATTGAAATACCAGTTACCTTCTACAGTGAGGTGAATGTATGTGTGTCCAATGTCTTTAACATCACACTTGTAACCTCCCTCATCCTCTTCAGTCAGGTGTGATATGAGTAGCGAGAGATTTCCTGGAGAGTGACCATTAACCAGCTGAACTCTGTTTCTGTACTGACCACTGTCACTGGATATCTCTTCCCATGTGCTTGTGTTGTATTTCTTCCAGGTGAATATCTCAGGTTTGGTCTGTTGGTCAGTGCAATAGCAGGGCAGCAGTACTGACCCTCCTGTATAAGCTGTCTCATACACTGCTCTTCCACTGTTTTCCAGAGTGCAGCCTGCAGAAACACATATGAGCATAATTACCTCTCTTTGAAAGACTTTTGACATCATTGGTATGCATAGAGCACAGAAGTCGCAGATGAGCCCTTTCACCTGGACCAGAGCACCAACTTCATGGTCTGTCACTTCTGCATCCACCAGCTGTGATGACCATTCTCACGGCTCACCACATTGAGTTATTTGCTTCTTAAAATGAAAGAAAAGTCCAGTGCCTGTGAGAGTAACACATATTGCTTCAGAGCCCCTGATACCCCAGTACCACTACTGATGGTGTATTCAGACATCCTGGTGAGTTGGTAATGTCAGGAAACTGTCACCTTTCACTCAATCATAACACCTGTTGTTTGTATGTTATTAATCAATGACTGTGGGCAGTCGTGGGCTGGAGGTTAGGGAACCAGCCTTGCAACCAGAAGGTTGCCGATTCAATCCCCTGAGCCATCAGTACATGACTGAGGTGCCCTTGAGAATGATACTGTTGTTTATTAAATAGCGATGATGTGATGATGATGAAGTCTCCGCTGACACCATCTTGCATGTATAAGATGTTTATTACAAAGTAAAACAGTATCATATCAAGTACCATAAAGTACCTGCGAGGGGATCTGTGCCAATTCTGAAGTGTCCCCTTCAGAACAGTATAGCCTACTGCTTATATAGGGTGGTTGTTTTCGACAAAGGGAGCAGAACATATGGTCCTTCTTAAAATAGTCTCATTCATCTGGAACTAAAAGAGGAAGGGGACCTTGACCCTTGGACCTTTGGACCAGGGGCCCCCTAACTTAAACATTCCAAACCTACAAAGTCAGATAACACATGGAGCTCGGATATTACAATACCTAACCCCCAACTGCTACTCGGGCATTGTGGATATAGCTGCCCACCACTCCGGGCAAGTGTGCTCACTGCCCCCTAGTGTGTGTCTTCACTAGCGTGTATGTGGTGTTTCACTGCACGGATGGGTTAGATTTTGGAGGTGAAACTTCCCCATTGTGGGACTAATAAGGGTCACTTATCTTTAATAAACATTTGTACCCACCATGATTCAGAAAATAAAGTGTGAGATGTATCATTGCTGTCAGGACAAAACCTTGTATCTCCATTTTTGCTGTCTTTAATTTTGCCATTATTTGAAAAAGGGAATTCGTCTAAAATTACTTGGCAGAAATGGTCTAAAATTACTTGGAAAAAACTTCTCCATTTAATTCCATTATACATTCCTTGTCATGTCAGGTTTTAAGCCTAAAGGCCTGTCTGTTATCTGTCATAGTTTTTTATTACACAGATTATTGGTCTGTCAAATTACTTGTTTAAGTTGAATGAACTCAAAATTTTAAGGCAACCAGGTTACATACTTTTTTTACATTAAAACACAATCATTTTTGTACATTGAAGAATTTTAGTGCTAAATGTCAGTTTAATGGGAACAAGCTGTTGGACAGTAAAAACAACAAAATTATTAAAGCATTTTGCAATTTGCAAGTCGATGGAAATGTAGTGTTTCCCAGCCCTGGTGCAGCCCCTTCTACACCTGCTCAACTGTATAGCCCACTGAACAGCAGACATAACACAATGCATTACACAACTATACTACACGAGAATGTGCACAAAACAGAAGACAAACATGTTTAAATCAACCGTGAACTCTTTCTCCCACACGCAGAGGAGATGCAATAGTGGACTGTGTGTTGTCACTCGTTCCTTCCTTGTTTGGATTTGCCACATCATATAGTCACAAATGATCACTTACAGGAAAATAACTCCCTCTTTTTGTACACATCTACACTCATCAGAGACTTTATTAGAAACCTCTACCTTATAGGTCCACCTTGCTGTGGCTAAAGACTGTAGCCTATTTGTTACCATTTGCAATTTGTGTTAACGCTTCATAGAATATGTTTGTTCATAAACTGAGCAAACATATTCCATTACAGTTATAGATTTTTATGCCACTGTGCCTGATTCATTCATACTGTCACAAAATTAAAGTGCTACAACTCTTTCTTTGGAGCGATATCATTTAAATCCCCAAGAACAATGATTCTCAAACTGGCTCTCAGGGACCCCCTCCCCCCCAGTAGTCCACATTTTTGCTTCAACCCAACATAGGGATAGACAAAAAAGGTGGACTGTCTCTGGGACTCTGAGGACCAGTCTGAGAACCACCACCCTAAAGTAGCATTGGATGGTTCATTAGAGAACCGTTTTTCTAAGTAAGATTTATGAGTCTTAACAACTTTAGTTGTTTAGACATCTTCTAAATAAAGGTTCTGCACTGTTTAAAGGCTTTCTTAGAACTGTACATCCAAGCCAATAAAATTTAGGAGCTTTTATTTCCAAGAGTGTAGGTACTTATGCATATTTCTGCTATATTACTATATAATATGTGCAGAAATACCAAAGTATAGTGTCTACCTGCCTAAAAAGATAAACCTAAATCTTGATTTTTAGGTGTATTGACTCAATACACCTTTTTTTGTCTCCAGTCTTTTTAATTTTATTGATCTATTTTAAAGCTTTAGGTTATGAAAAGGTACAAATACAAACTTTTCTCCTGGAAAAAAAGCTATTTACGTTGAACCTTAAGGCTGTCATTGTAACTTTGATGGTACACTTACATTGTTTGTACCATGACATGTCCATCTTTACTCAGCTCAATGACAATAAAACATGTATGCTGCTAATGACTACCTGAACATTGTGTAAAAGGGGAAAGCAGAGGACTTACCTTCAGTAACATGAAGCACTGTAAGGAGAAGACAAATCAACACCTGCATTCTTACTGAAGACTTAAATACACTCATAAATCAGACACTAATAAGAGCTACGCACAGTAACTTCCTGCCACACTGTCTAAACATCCCTACTGTGCTTTAAAGATCACATTAAGCCACAACAAACTGAAGACATCACACCACTACAGTTCATAGGATGAGCAAACTTTGCATCACATGGTTTACTAAGGGTGGTGATGACAGAGTACAGAGACAGATGTTGCACAAGTACAGCAGTAGTCAGAGGCATACAAGTAATAAGAATAAGAATGAGTTTAATTTGTGTAGCACTTACAAAGCAATAAGAATGTGCAAATCAACCATAGACAAAAAATACACCATACCCACAGTTCCCAGACAGCAGGGGTAAAACATCTCAGTTCGCCTACTCCACCGAGGGGTGAAAGGGATTTATGCTGACATGGCTAGTCCAGGACACCTCCACAGCCACAGAGAAAGGTGCCTCTGCTGGTGCATCCAAGAAAAGTCCTCAGCAGCAGAAAGGTCTTTCTGCCAGTGTGCCTAGGAAATTTCCCATACCATGGGGAAAGGTCTTTCTGCCAGTGTGCCCAGGAAATCTCCCATACCATGGGGAGAGGTATCCATGCCAGTATGCCTGGGAATACTCTTCAGCCTTGAAGAAAGATCTCTCTGCTGGCTAGTCCAAGAAAAGTTCTCAGACACAAGCCTGGGAAAATTCCTTGTTTTTGAGAATGGGAAAACTCCTCAGTCACACTACAGGGAAAACTGCTAGCTGTGAGTCGAGAAAAAATCCTCAGCTGCATTGATGTTAAAACTTCCCAGCTGTGTGCCCCAGAATTTTTTTCAAATACAGGGAAAGGTCTCTCTGCCACTACACCGTGGAAAATGACTCAGCTGCAAGTCTTGGAAAACTCCTTAGTGATGGATAAAGGTTTCTTGGTCAACAGGGGTTAATTTGTTGACCAGCAGGGAAAGTTTACGAGTTGCAAACAATCACAGTTGGAAAAACTGAAACAAAAATCTATAGTCTGATGGATTCCTTATGTGGCAGTCATTTGTAATTCAGGGGTGTGATTATGGTAATAATATGCTAATTGTTTGGAAGTGTACAGGTATACTGGGGTACAGGTATACTGGGGAGACACCATGATCAAGAATGTGGTTCACCCAGGGTGAGGTTCGGCCATTGCACTCTAGGCTGTGCTGACCTCTGTGAATTCCCCAAATGTTGGAATCTCTACAGCATAATTTGTGGGGGACTGCATTAGCACTATTTTGGGCAGTCATGGGCTGGAGGTTAGGGAACCAGCCCTGTGACTGGAAGGTTGCCAGTTCGATCCCCTGAGCCGACAGGACATGACTGAAATGTTCTTGAGCAAGGCACCTAACCCCCAACTGCTGTCCGGATGCTGTGAATAGGGCTGCCCACCGTTCCAGGCATATGTGCTCAGTGTGTGTGGGTTCACTAGTGTGCATGTATGTTGGTGTGTCACTGCACATATGGGTTAAATGCAGAGGTCTAATTCCTGTGCAAGAACAGTTGGTCAGTGGTTCTAAATTCATGTGTGCTCCCAAATGAAAACAATTGGTATTCATTAACCTCTAAAATAGCCAGGGCTAGCAGTTTTATTACAGGGCTAGCAGTTTTATTACATGCTTCTATAACCAAAAATAGTTCAGCCAAGGACAAAATGTTCAAGTAGTGTGTAATAAGACTGGGATTTTAAGGGGTTATTCTATTAAACCAAAATGGGTTCCTTCCAGGCCACAGCTCTGCAGAGATTAGCATTTGCTTTCATTAAATGCTCTGAATTCAATTGCCAATTAGCAGATGAGTTGAATCAGGTGTGTTTAATGAGGCAGAGCACTGAAGTTATCACACATGTGTACAAACAAATGTGGTGTTTATGCTATATATGTCAATTTGGCAGAAAAAATTTGAGAAGGTCCAGTTTACTACTAGCAGTTTGTTCATGTACTTAGAAAGCTTTCATGAATGTTCTCCAAGATATCTAAGAGGTTTAGTGTGATTATGAACCAATTTTGCAACTTTGGTTGTTTTGCAGATGATCCGTACTTTGTCTTTGACAGATGTATTTAACGACTGTATAGAAGTCCAACAGCATCTTGAAAAGCTCCTTGTTTTATTGAGGTGCATGAATTCTAACTGTATTCTGAATAAATAACAGGATTAGCAGACTTGCAATGTGCATAATTCAGAATATGGCAATTGATCGTCACAGTCAAAACTTTAGCATGCTTAGAAATGTAGATGTTAGCATTGAGTTTTTGAGTGATAACAATACATTGTAAACTGTGATGTATTAAATAATAACATGCTTGTGTTGCCTGTTTTAAGATATTCTATGTGTTACTTTTTTCTGTTTAACAATGTGTTGTTTTCAATGTGTAGTATAAAAATATAACCCTAACAAAAGATTGCATGATTTTGGGAACACTTATTATGTCCTATAACACACTAATTAAGTCTCATCAAATCAGTAGCTACTAATTAACTGGCTGCTCATTACTACTTTATTAAGTAGTAACTACAATTAAATAAGCACTTTTCTATATGTATTATACATCATAATCTTTTGCTTCATTCATCATTTGTTGATATGAAGACATACAACTAGACTATCTGATTAGACTCAATTTAACAGGTCAGGTATTGACTAGATGCTAAATTAATAAGCACAGTTCATGCAGACCCCATGTTTAAGTATCCACCACACTTTTACACCTTAAATACACATTAACTATAAATCTTGACTTCAGAATAGAGTGTCCATTTGTCTTTCTTTTGAGCTAATTTGTGATTTATTCTCAAAGTGTTATATAAATCAAAAGAAAATACACAATTAAGTGTTATCATATCCAATTTTTTTTATTTTAAATGTATGTGTTATTTATCAGGTAAACAAAAAAGCCAAAACATGAAAAAATAGACCTTCACCAAAATATCTTTCATGTTTGGAAGTCACACTAGCATCAACAGAACAAAAATAAGGAACAATGTTTACGTGTTGTACAATGTAATATTATTTATCAGCAGGTTTTTTCCATACTCATAATCATATTTCTGGGGGGCTTCTGGTTTAAAGGGAAAACAAAACATTTGAGTTTAAGCTGCTACATATTCAGATCTTGTACTGAACACCATCCCGATTAAACAAACCAAATTTTTTTTTCTGTTTCTTCTCTACTGTAGACTCACTGCTCCATCTTCTTCAGCATTACTGTAGCGAACCATGGTAGGATCTGGAGTTTAGATGGATAAAATAAACAAGTAAACTACAGTTCATGCAGAATCTGATACTGAGACTTAAAAAAATAAATAATAAAAATATACATATGCAGGAAAAGTAGTATGAATATGACAACTTGATTGTGTTGTCTGTACCTTTGTTTCTTTTGGTGCAGTAGACCACAGCTACTATAATGTGGAGAAAGATCACAGTCACCACGGCAAAGGGGACAAAGGGCAGAGACTGTGGAGAGACTGAAATCAACATCGGTCACAGGTGAGCTTCTTAAAAGTTGCATAGCTCAAAGATCAATATTAGACAGTAGAGCAAGGTATTTGAACATTAAAAATTAAGATTATCTTGGTGCTGTAAAGCTTTTGAGTAAACTAAGATCTGACATCACCTCTTTAAGGTTCTTTAGTTAGAAAATAAAATGTACATCATTCATGTATGCTTTAAATGGTAATATGCTAATGGTAATTCAAAATATTAAAGTATGTTATACCTTTTTGAGAGGATTTCTTTCACTATCAAGTTTTGGACTTTGGGCCTCAGTTGTTTTGCAATTGCAAAACTGCATATCAATTAGCTTAACTGCAAATGTTATATTAGACAACATTCAAAGCCTGAATATTAATTAAAACAGTGCATTTCCTGAAGAAAATGCAGAGTTGTGCTGCTTAAACAGTTCCCAGGTGGTTGCTAGGGTGTTGCCAAATGGTCAGCATATGCTTGGATGTTGCTGAATGGTTACTATGGTATTTTAGGTGGTTGTTAAGGTGTTGATAAGTGGTTGCCATGGTGTCCCAGGTGGATGCTTCCCATTCCCACATGTTAAAAATGGACTTGTATTAAAAATGATATAAGCCATTCATTCCTAAGGAAAAAAACGATGATTGTACAAAACCATGTGTCCTAGCACATCAATCCCAATCAGACCAAACCTTCTGGAGTTAGAACAGTCAGAATCTCAAAAACTGTGTGATGAGTTAGTGGACAAAAAAATATGAGCCAAGAAAAAGAATATAACATTGGATAGATAAATAAAGAATCAACAAAGATGCATAAATAATAATAATAAAGATTCAAAAGGTCTTTACCTGTAACAGTGAGCCTAAAATATGTGTGTCCACTGTCTTTAACGTTACACTGGTACTCTCCTCCATCCTCTTCAGTCAGGTGTGATATGAGTAGAGAGAGGTTTCCTGGAGAGTGACCATTAACCAGCTGAACTCTGTTTCTGTACTGACCACTCTCACTGGATATCTCTTCCCATGTGTTTCTGGTCGTGTTGTGTTTCTTCCAGCTGAATGTCTCAGGTGTGGTGTGTAGGTCAGTGCAGTAGCAGGGCAGTAGTACTGAGCCTCCTGTATGTGCTGATATAGTCAGTGTTGTTCGGCTGTTTTCCAGAATGCAGCCTGCAGATAAAAAAATGAATTAAAAAAGAATAGTTACCACAATACCAGAATAATTATATACAATATTTATGTATACGAGATAGGAGCCTTCAGGCCTTTCTAGGCCTTCAGAGAAGGCCCAATGATTTCTGGAAACTAATAATAATAATAATAATAATAATAATAATAATAATACATTTCTGTAATTTTTAGTACATTTTTATTCAATAGAATCAGGCTTGTATTTAAACACTGCAAGCATTATTGTACTTTTTTTTAATTGTAAAATTTTGGACGGAAACAAAATGGTTAAATTCTTGAAAGGCCAAGCTGAAAGTTGGCCAATCAGAAATTATTTCTCTCAGTGGTATCTAGGTAGATGTAGTTAAGCAAGCTCTTCTATTGGTTAGATTAACCATCAGCATAATTATGAAGTGGCAGGGGACTCAACCAATCATGTTTTGATTTCAAATGGCTGAGAGCAGTTTTTGTGAGGAAAAAAAAAACCCTCTCTTTCTGGAAGTTCTAGATTTGTCACTGACAGAATACATATTACAGTCTGATTAGTGGGTTCTTAGAAACGGAAAACAGTGGTGGCAGCTGTACGCCAGAGCTTATTACTGAAAGAGTCACTGTGAAACTGCCACGAGGTAAAATATATGCTAATATGTCTGTCACAGGCTTCAAGTAAAACATGGAATGGCTATTAGAAGCTTCAGATGTCTGTATTTAATTTAGAACTGCCTTTTCTGAATTTTCCATCCAACCTTAAATGGTCTAGTTGTTCTGCAGAACTGCTGCACTGTTAAAGGGGAACAAGTAGCTAACTTCAGCCTCGTCAGAAGGTGTTCATGTGAATCACCATTGGCTTAGCACTAACAATCTACTAGAATCCTATAGGGACATAAGCATTAGCATTGAGGTGGGTTTTTTTCCTCATGTTTTGACCGAGTTTTGACATTTATGGCCCAAATTGAAGGCCTAGCTCTATGCCCTTGTCCTTGGAGCATGCATAAATCCTCATTTAGTTGCCTCTTTCAAGTTATATACACTTATCTACTTTGAATTGCACTACTAATGAAGATTTAAAAAGTTTTTACCTTTAAGAGACAGGCTAATGAATGTGTGTCCACCATCTTTAACATTACACTGATAATGTCCTCCATCCTCTTCAGTCAGGTGTGATATGAGTAGAGAGAGATTTCCTGGAGAGTGACCATTAACCAGCTGAACTCTGCTTCCGTACTGACCACTCTCACTGGATATCTCTTCCCATGTGTTTCTGTCCATGTTGTACTTCTTCCAGCCGAATGTCTCAGGTTTGGTGTGTAGGTCAGTGCAGTAGCAGGGCAACAGTACTGACTGTCCTGTATGTGCTGTGACACTGTGTAATGTACTTCTCTTTTCCAGAACGCAACCTCCTGCTGTTGAGGAAATAATTCTTGTCATGATTTTTGACCCTTTTGTTATGCATAAAAAAACAATGAATGTTGCCTCTGAATACTTGAATACTTTTATTGGTAATGCAAGGCCTTTACATCATTCACACATACAGCTTTTAATAGCATGATTAATGGGGAGTCACAGGATCATATTTGCCATGATAATCTCTGTAAGCACAGGCCTGGACCATCCAATGTGGTTTACAGGTGCGTGTCCAAAGGTCCAAGCCACTAGGACTGGGCTCAGGTGATGCTCATTGTCATGGCAAACATTTACACTAAGTCGTCGTCTACACATGCACATAATTCTGGATCAGATTACTTGTAGTGAGCATGTTAACTGAGATTTTCCATCAGATTGTTGAGTTTAGTGAGCGTATAAACACCTCAGTCTTAATCTATAATCAGAATGTATTCAATCGGATTGGCAAAAATCTTTGCATGTAAATTTAACAACCGTAAAATAGAAAAAATTGTTTGTATAACCGACTTGTTTGATCCGTCCAATGTTAGGTCGCCAATAAAACATTTTTTTAGAAGAGGAAACCTATATTACATTTACAGCAGTTGGCAGACACTCTCATCCAACGACTTAGAGTCTAACCATGTTACAGAGGTAACTGATGTAGTATTTGGAGTCTTCAGTCTTCAGACTTCACTCAGTTCTTTTCTGAGCAGAGAATCAAACCCTGTTGAAGACAAGGATTCATTTTTTGAATACTTTTTGAAACATAGTGCTCAATGAAACGTGATGGTAACATCACCTTTTTGGTCTGTAGATTATAGCATGTTGAGCATAGTAGGTAAAACCTTTGCCTTTACCCAGCAGACTGGATGATTCTCTGCCCAGAGAAGCACATCAAGCTGTACTATAAGTACAAATGTCCCTGAGGAAGACTCCTAACCCTCTGTAAGAAACACTTTTAGTTCCCTATAAAAAATTTCTAATTAATGATTCTTTAAAGGACTTTTTTTTATTATTGTTTAAATAATTGTTGATGAACGTTCTAACGAATTACTGAAGAACCTAGTGAAATACAGTGAACCTAATCACATAATGTAAAGGTTGTACATCAATTAATTTTTTTGTTCCTAGAATTGTACTTCCAAAGCCAAAAAATGCTTTATTTTTAAGAGTGTACTGTATATAAGCCTACTTTATGCACAGAAATACAGTGCCTGCCTGCTGGCCCAGGTAAACCAAACACAGCATGATGTCTTTAGCTCTACACCAGAATCCTTCATTTTAAGATTTATATAGTGTTGTATAGGGATGGAAATTTCAATCTGTTATATTGAAATCAGGCAAATTTTGGACTAAATAGGTGACTGGCATTTGGCTGATATATGTCTTTAACCTCATAAATGGCCAGGGCCCACTGGTGGTAATCTACCAATCTGTGCAGATGATGAGTGGATTCCTCAGTTAAGATGCCCACTGAATACTTGTTGTAATACTTGAGCAATGCAGAGCATTGGGAAAGTGATTAACTACCAGTGGCATCCATTCCACAGAATCACTAAATTACTGGGAGTCCAATAAGGGCCTTTCTGCTTACATTACCAATGTCACTTGAGCTGACCTCTCTGCACCTCACACATGGATGGACAGCCAAAGGTTGTTAAGCCCTGCTTCAAATATCTTCAACAGGAACAAATAGCCAGGCCAGAAAGATGAAATGGTACTCTTATGATAAAAATAGTGATTAATGGAAAACCCTGAGTCATTTGCACAGCTGTGTATCAATAGCACTTTGTTCTGCATTAAAATAACATACCTTGCTGCTAGAATTTTGTTGCCTGAAAATAATTTGAGTCTGTAAGATTGTTGTATGACTATTGCCTTTTTATAAGTTGGTTGGAAACAGTGGTTTGATCATTTGCAATTTTGTCTGAAAATACAACTGAAAATGTTTCATTGCATATAGCATTTGGCCATGAAGCTGCACCTATTTCATGTGAGTTTGCTGCAAATTTTTGGTTGTTAAACCAATTTTAACCATGTTTGGTGTCTTTGCCTGGGTAGTTAAGTGTCGCAGCATCCTGCTTGCCACCCCCAGCTGGAATCAGCATCGCCCACTCATGAGAAAGGGCAACTGGCAATTGGTATTGACCTTATAAAACACTGATTGGTCTATCTGCAGTGCTGTACAATATCATGATCAACACATGGACATTGTGGACATGTTTCCTCAGGGCAACGATAATAACACAAAAACCAGTTAGCCGCTAACAACAAACTGGACAGTACAGAAGAGGAATAAAAGCAGTGGACTCGCCTTCAGTAACATGAGGTGCTGCAAGGAGAAGAAAAATCAACAACTGCATTTTCAACAACCCCACAGTTTATAGGAAGAGCAAACTTTGCATCATGTGGTTCACTAAGGCTGAGTTACACAGCAGGATATGTGCAGAAATGGGATGTGGTGTAAGTGCAGCAGAGGTCAAAGGTAGGCGGTCAAATAATAAAGTGTCTTGACCAAACTTAGCGTCCCTTCACAACAGCAACAAGAACACAGGAACTAACAGTACACACAATTGCCTGGAAAAGTCTTCACAGTTGTGTGTGTGTGTGTATGGCACTGTGGGCAGCTGTTGACCAATTGAGGATAGTGCCTGAAACGGCAGCGACGAGGCAGGAGGAGAAAACAGAAATCAGTTTTTCTGCTAAACACACTTTATTAGTGTGGAAACAATACACAAGATAAAACCAGTTCTACTGCAACCTGAGAGTGTTAACAAAACAGGCTCATAAGCCAGACTAAGTGGATTTTGAGAACCTGAAAGAACTGTTTGACTGGCATGCAAATCATCCAATCACAGAACAAATTGACCCTATTCTACAACAGTTCAGTACAACAGGACAGGCAGATGCTTGGCGTCAGTTGGGACGAATCAAAAGACCTTGCTCCAAATTGGAGACAGCTAGCTGCCCTATAGAATGGGAGGAACTAAGTCTAGGTCTAATTTAAAATTGTTAGATTATGAAAAGGAACAAATATGCACCTTTCTCTTGGTAAAGAAAATGTGGTGTACCTAAAACTCATTTAAGGTACACAGTACAACAGGCTATCCGAATGTTACTGTTCACGTGACATATGCTGCTAATTGTTGTATCTTTAATGGTACATTTACATTTTATCTTGATGCAACAAAATGTACTTGTGTAGTTTTTTCCTGACAGAGTGTACAGAGAACACATATAATAGAAATAAACATTGAGTGTGTTTACGTGCACTCAATAATCCAATCATAATCAGATTTCTGCAGCTATCCGATTATTCAAATGGTCATGTAAACACCATACTCCAATCTAGAAATCCAACTAAGAAATCTGATAAAGACAGCTGGATTTTAGCTCAGTAATCAGATTTCTCAGTGCATGTAAACGCTTACTCTGATTTCTTTCAGATTTCTCAGTCTGTGCATGTGCAGAACAGACTGCTCTACTAGAAATAAGCAAGCAGCAAAAAACATGTGGAGCGACGCTGAAACCAACCACGTTCTCAATGAAATAAAGGATTTAAATATTCTTCGTCTTCTAGATGATGTATGTTCATTTTGTCAGGTAAAGTGGAGCAATGTTTTTAAAAAAAAGCTGCGTCAAGAAGTTTGAGTTTTACATCTTCTTCTGTGAGTTTATTGCCTGGTTGCAAAGCAGAAATTCAATTATTGCCTGACTCGTGTAGACCCTGGAGTTTTCCCATTATCTGATTACTTAATTGCATGTAAACACGTTGATCGGATTACAGACAAAATCTGATTGTCTGCAGTTATCAGATTATTAAGTGCATGTAAACGCATTAGTCTCTTTCATAGAACAAACAGTTCTGTTAAACCAGACTAGACTTTAGCTTTCAAAGAAATCAGATACCTGAGTTACTGTCTTCGAACAAAGTATTTAGAGCAGTTTAATGGATTTCGTGCATTCAGCATAAACGCCAATGGTTTTTCCGAAACATTCATTTAAGTAGGGGGTGTACCGTTCTTAGTGGTGGAGTTTGGCAGAATCTAGCACCAAGAGTTTAACAAGGTATCCCCAGATATATGTTTTCACTACAAGAGCCTTGCTAGACTACCAATAACTTTGCAGTAGCTTGATAATTCAGTATATTATTAAACAGCTGATTCTGTATACTAAGCAATACTTTGACTTGGCTGGTCTTCAGATATGTTCTTTACAGAAGAGTGTAGTTTCTAGTGTCCTTTAGCCTTCTGTCCTGTATCATGGTAATGGATTTGTATTGTATGCCTAATGCCAAGTTATGAGGTCATCATGGCACTACGGATATGAATCAAAATTGTGTTTTACCTGTTATAGTGAGGAAGACGAATCTGTGTTCTTTCATCTCAAGATTACACCTGTACATTCCTCCGTCCTTTGTGGTCAGGTGTGATATGAGTAGAGAGAGATTTCCTGGAGAGTGACCATTAACCAGCTGAATTCTGCTGTTTGTGGACCGGTCACTCTCACTGGATATCTCTTCCCATGTGTGATTGGTTGTGTTATATTTCTCCCAAATGAATCTCTCAGGTGTGGTGTGCAGGTCAGTGCAGTGACAAGGCAGTAGCACTGATCCTCCTGTGTATGCAGTAATCTGTTCTGTCTCTCTGTGGTCTTCCAGGGTGCAGCCTGCAGAAACAAACCAGTTTGGCAGTGGAGAACTGTGATTATTAGAGTGAGGCTATACAATAAATGTCAAAACTCAGTCAAAATAAAATTTCAGTCAGTGTCACTGCTGGACTTAGAATAGTCCACCAACCAAAATTATCCATCCGACAGGGTCCTGTGGGCAGCGTCCGGCGTCACATGAGAGGGAGTGGGTTATCGCGAAATAACAACATGTTATTTATGATAACACACAACCTCGAGTGTTCTATTGCTTTGATACAACAGTTAAATTAATAAAGTAAGAAATAAATTAACTGGGCCGTGAACGTGTCAATATGTTCGTTAATATGTTTTAATGTTAGCAATTCCTTCTGCCAAATTATAGTTTCTTAACAAGCAGCTTGTTGCTACGTCAGAGTAACAAACTCTGCTCACTCGTTGCTCAGTCTGCTGTAAGCCTCGCCTTTTGAAGTACGGACTGAGCCATAAAACTGCCGTAATATCAAGTTTAGCTCAGTTTTGTCAATTTTTGCTAGACCAATATTAATGTTGTTTTGTTCCAGCCAGTCTGTAAAGCATCGTACAGCCTATTTTGTTTGACGAATGGTATTCGGTTTATTTCTGGTGTTTAGGTTGTTTAGCTGTTCTTCTGTCACAGCTGCCGACTGAAAAGCTGCTCAGTGGTGATGACAGTTTGGGAATTTAGTGTAGTCTCATCTTCAGAGACTGACCAAATCAGTAAGAAGTAAAAACGTCCAAATGGCTTGAGCATCTCCTACAGCTGTCAAAGTTGTTGCTTAGCAATGGCGTCTTAGCAGAGTGATACAGGGTTAATGAAAAAAACGTAATGTTATGGCGAAATGACAGCACAGTTAGAACGCTTCTCAACCAATCAGCTTGCATGGCCGTAACTAACTGTTGTATAATAAGAGATATAATGGTACACTCACCTTCAGCAACACGCAGCACAAGCAGCAGATAACACCAGACCTGCATTCTTGTTCCTGCACCCCCTGACTACATACAGTGGCAGCACAGCTGTAGACAGAACCGTTCCTATATCCACTCTTCAAAACTACAGCCTACTGAACAATCTGACAGCTACACATATACAACAACACTGCTGTACTTCAGCAAAACCGTCTTCAAAACTGCAGTCTACCATGTAACTAACAGCCTGAAACTCTGTAACTCTCTTAGCATGACTACCACACCCTGATGTGCACACCAGCAAAGATGAGGAACTGGGTTAAGATCAGTTCAGCTCCCACTCTTTCTCAACGCACAGCCGAAGATATAGCAATACAAAGTTGTGTCACTGTGATGTTGTCACTTTGTATTTTCTATGTCTTTTATTTTAGTACTCTATGCATCTCATATAGAAACACAAACCAGATAAAGCCTATCCTATTGTTTAATCTCAATGCTTTTGTCATTGGTTGTCATTGGTTAATCTTGATACTTTTGTCATTGGTTGTCATTGGTTAATCCTGATACTTTTGTCATTGGTTGTCATTGGTTAATCTCAGTGCTTTTGTCACTGGTTGTCATTGTTTAAACTCAATGCTTTTGTCATCGGTTGTCACTGGTTCATCTCAATACTTCTGCCACTAGTTATAATTGGTTAATGTAAATATTTTGTCCAATGACAAGCTCATGTTTTTCTTTATTCAATATTCGCTATTGCATATTCATTATGAATTCTGCATTCTTTATCCGCATTGGTCTTGTGTTATTATTTGCCTGGCTGGTGTTCACCAGAGGAGGAAGAAGTGGCTCCTCCTCTTACTCTTAGGGACTTAAGTCTTGGTTCCTCTTAAGGCTTCTTCCTCACCTCTGTTGCCCTTGACTTAGTCATTATAGCACTCATTGTAAAAAGCATTATACATCGATTATACATTACACATAATGCATTCTAGAAAGTCATAGGAAACAGAATATTGCAATATGATGTCAGCATATTCCAAAATTTAAATTCTACATATTGTAATAGATTTTCAGTATATTATACATTGTCATAGGATGACAGGACCACAAATCAGTTACTGCATTTTCTAGGTCTTGAGGGATGCAGTACAGCATAATCATGCTCATTATCACTACAGGTGTTGTATAAAGTTATGTAAATTATACGTAACGGAAACAAGAAAAAGATTACTTTCAGAAATATGCAATATAAGACTATTTTTCATGTATAGCATTCACAGATTCTATACACAGATGATGCAGCAGAGTTATATTTAGTGGTCTGGTGCGCCCTCTAGAGGCCGTGTGCAAAAAAAGGTGTTTCAAGTAGTTTTTCAGTAAGTGCATGTAGGTGTGTGATGCAGATCCTTACATATTACTATTCTTGTACATTCATAGTAGTTACTTTTTAGACGAAAAAAAGAAAACTATTCATTACTTTTTAAATATAGAAATGCATTCATTTTTTAGGTTTTATGAATAATTCTGTAGTTTTATATTAATATATAGACAGGTAACAAAATAAAAAAAAACCTGAATAACTGAATGGAGAAACATAACAAGTGCAGATGCTGCAAGGCAGTTGATATAATACAATTAACCAGTTAACATCCCACCATGCTATGCTGCATGTATAACAGTGCCAACCAGGCCCGGCTGACCTCAATTTTGGATCAAGATGACATTACGAAAACTAATGTGACATGCATTTAGATCTATTAACATCTGTGAGACATCTGTAAGTAGAGCTGGAAACTGTGGATGTCCAGGATGAAATGCCCCAGTCCACAGGGCATGGGGGGTCAGTGAATGCTTTAATGAGTACAAAACTGAAGTAAATCATGTACTATGGCCTTCACAGCAACCAGTTCTCAGCTCAAGTTGAGCTCTACCTCCAGAACAGTTCCAGACATTTGCAGAATATATGCCAAGGTGCACTGAAGCTCTTCTGGTGGCTCATGATGGCTCAACACCTTATTAAGTCATTGTTACTTTTGTCACCTGTTTATTTATATGTGAAATATATATAGTACTGTGCAAGTCGTAGAAAGCCAAGAGCATTGTTTGACCCCTTACATGGCCAAGGCCCACCAGCAGGCCCAAAGTTTTATCACACTCTCCTATAATCTAATAGCTCAGCCAGTTTGCACTGAAGTTCCTGTAGTTATTAAATAATGAGCTTTACTATATAATAATCCTGGGATTTTAAGGGGTTAAAAAATGTCTTAAGGTGACCATGCACATTTACTAACCTTTGGAAAGCTCTGCGACTCTCTTTCTCTGCCATCATGAAGCAAATTTCACAGGTGTTAATCACACACTCTAGTGTGGAATACCTAATAGTGGGCAGTATTTTAAAAAGAAAATAAATGGCTGTATGGAAATGTTTTGAGCAGCGCTGGTGCTTTAAAAGTAGTTTCATTTCACTTTTATTCAGCACCAAGACAAAAGCAACATAAAATGCTTCTAAAAAGTATTAATCTCAAGAAGTTTACCAAAATGTCACTTTAACTGTGGAAAAAAACACAAAGCAACATGTAAAAGTTGTGTATATGCTCATTTTGCAGAAAATACATGCAGTTGCTATTAAATCGTTGTTTTTACTTGTAGGCTCTTTATAATTGGTCTAAATCTGTATTTTTATGAAACATGTATCCTTAAAGTAATCTGAGACAAAGCAACTTCATTTTCTTTATTTCATGCAGGCCTTGTTCTGTCATGTTCTGTCATCATTTTTCTATTGCTTTGGACAATTTCTTCTTCCTCTGACAGAAACAACAAGGTTCCAAGAATATGACAGAAAAATATGACTACTTTTCCAAGCTCGTGCTTTTCTGGACAGTGCTGCATGACAATGGGATGGTTTATAGAAAAGTGAAATGCTGCATTAAAACATGGCTGATGCTAAAGCCAAATGATTAGTTCCATCTGAACGGCTAACGTGAAGTTTGGATTGAGAAACTGTTGCGTATGCAAATATGGTCAGGAAATATTCCAGTCCGTAGTGGCCATTCTGAAGCAATGGAGCTTCCTCAGATAAAGCATACAATCCAACTTATCAGCAACAGCGGTTTCCATAATACGGCTGCCTCCAGAGGGGCGGTTTGAAGCCAGAGGGATAAGAAAAAGAAATCATATTTATCTCAGCTGGTGGTGGCTTGGCCGATAGGCTGTTTTCATTTCTCATTTATCTATAGAAAAAAATCTTTGGAATTTCTCTGAACTCTATATTTTGCTGATTTGGTCAGTATGCAATGTTGGATTTTAAAGTTATGATCCAAATGCTTATACACATAAACACACATACAGAAATACAGGTACAGTACAAATACATTCAGAAGGTAGTACAGATGTAAAGCATTATTAGATGTAATCTACTTATAATTACAGACAATTAAAGCAACAGTGAGCATTAAATGAGTTATAAAGTATTAAAATTCAAAATAAAATAAGGTACCTCACTGGCCACTTTATCAGAAACACCTACCTTTTACTTGCAATAACTGGCCACTTTATTGGAAACACCTACCTTGTGCTTCTCCTCACTGGGCACTTTATTAGAAACACATGCCTTATGCTTCCACTCACTGGCCACTGTATTAGAAACATCTACCTTGTGCTTCCACTCACTGTCCACTTTATTAGAAACACCTACTTTGTGCTCCCACTCACTGGTCACTTTATTAGAAACATCTACCATGTGCTTCAACTAACTGTCCACTTTTCTTAGAAACGCCTACCTTATGCTTCCACTCTTTGGCCACTTTATTAGAAACTTTGTGCTTCCACTCACTTTTTGAACTCCAGCTGCATTATAGGTGCTATATGTAGATGTGCACTTGCAACTTGCAAATTGATGAAGGGCTAGAGAATGGCTAACACAAACTTTGCATCAACAAATGGTCTAACTGTTAACCAGCAAGGTGGAGCTGTAAGTTATTTTAAACAAAGTAGCCAGTCAGTGTAGATGTGACAGCAGCAAAGTCATACATAACTTTGCTTTTCTAAAACAAATGAGAATTGGCATTATTCCCAAGGTACTATGGTTGCAAATATTGTTATAGAAATTAGTATATAAGTAAATTAATCATTGCTTTCATCCAAATAAACCGGCCTAGACTTAAATTTCTTAAAAAGAAAAACATTGAAATGTATGTTAAAAACATTTTTAAAAGTGTCTACCCAACTAAACGCTGCCAGACATCTGATTGGCTGGAGACTTTGAACGAGCCAGAATCAATATCTACTCTCTCTCCAGGACAACGTCTCCTTCGCCAAGTGTTTCTTTTTTTCATTTTTCCTCATTTGTGTATGTTTTCTCAGCCCTCCACTGGCGCAGCAGCTCCTCCGTGGCCTGTTGGAGAAACACTCTGCGTGAGGCACCAGGACACACGCCTTTCAGTTCCACACAAAAGCAATTTGGCCCTGGAGCAGAGTAATAGCCAAAACAAACAGTATTGAACTTAATGCATGTGATTCATTCGCCTCTCCCGGAGCGTCTTCACTTCAGACTTAGCGAGAGAGAGAGAGAGAGAGAGAGAGAGCATGTCTAGGTCAGGTTGCTTTAAATTGCTTTGTTTATTTCTTGTGTGTTGTAAGATGAAATGTCAGAGAGACGCTGTGCCGGCTGTGTCAGTTCTCTTTTGGGGAGGAGCGTCTTGTTTGTTTGCACACGGCATGATAGGATTTTGCCGTGAATCTCTTTATTTTTCTATTCTCTCTCACCCTCTGTCTGCCTCTCCCCCCAAACCACCCCACCCTATTGTCTCTCTCACTGTCTGGCTGTGAACAATACTTTCTTGGGCAGAGTCTAGCACTGCTATCCTGCTATCACTTTCCTTACACCCCACATTCATACAGCCAGACATATTTTTCATATTATTCCATTTGGCATCAGTTAAAATAAACACCACTGTCAGATTAAATGCACTATTGTGTACATACACGATATCCACAGTACTGTGTAAAAGTCAGAGATTTCCAAAGTCGGAGTTTCCAAAACTGGACTTCAAAAAATAATTAGATGCAGGACTCCTCCCTGGACTCCTATCAACCACCTGCAAGACCTAGTAGACACCAAAACAGCACTTAAAGCTTTCATCTTTGAGAGAGAGAGGAGAAAATCAAGCTGCTTCATATATGAAAAATCCACAGATGTTCCACTGTGAGAAGACAACTCAACACTATGGGTCTGAAAGGATGTGTAGCTGACAAGAAGTCCTCACTAAGAAAAGGAAATTGAAAAAAAGAAGAAACTTTTCACAAGAACCCTGAACTGGATATCTGAGGTCATCTAAATTTGTAATTGAGATTTTTTAGATCACTAGAAGCAGCAAGTGCAACCGGCTTCTAAGACTGAACTTTGAAGGCGTAAAAAAACATCCCTGCAGATTTGTTTGAAAAGCTGTTTCCTCGAAAGAATGGAAGGGGTACTAAAAGTAAAGAGTGGACAAACTAAATACTACAAAAATGCTACATTTAGTTGTTGAAGTATCATTTTCTGTTGAATACATGCTTCCTGCCTTTTTCCTGACATTGAAAGTACTGAAACAGTGGTCTCTGACGTTTGCAAAATTAGTAGGTCCTAATTAGTTATAGTTAGCACAATATTCTCGCATTCTCATGTTACAAAAATGGACGGAAAACTAGGATTGCACTCAATAATCCGATCATATTCAAATGGTCATGTAAACACCATACTCCGATCTAGAAATCTGATAAAGAGAGCTGGATTTTAGCTCAGTAATCAGATTTCTCAGTGCATGTAAACTCTTACTCTGATTTCTTTCAGATTTCTCAGTCTGCGCATGTGCAAGAACAGACAGCGGTACCAGAAATAAGCAAGCAGCGTTGCCACGAGATGGCAATAAAACAATTTGGAGCAGCGCTGAAACCAAACACGAAATAAAGGATTTAAATATTCTTTATCTTCTAGATGATGCATGTTCATATTTTCAGGTAAAGTTGCACGGTGTTTAAAAAAAAGCCGCGGCATGAAGGTCTAAGTTTTACGTTACATTTACGTCTTCTTCTGTGAGTTTATCGGCTGGTTGCAAAGCAGAAATCTGATTACTGCCTGACTCACGTAAACCCGGAGTTTCACATTATCTGATTACTCAAGTGCATGTAAAAGTGTTGATCGGATTACTGACAAAATCTGCAGTTTTGTGCAGTTATTGGATTATAAATGCATGTAAATGTCTTTTGGATTGAAGATTATGGTTAAAATTAAGGGTAGAGTGGGGAAGAAATTTAATTATACACAAAGCTAATGTTTCATAAATGACACTTCAGAACTTCAATGAAGAAAACACATACAAGACCTTACATATACAAAGTATCTCTAGGAAAAGACATGAAGAACCTACAGAGAACCCAAAGAAAACCTTTGTCAATGCTCCTGGGTTCTCTATATGTCCTAGAGATACTGAGGCTATGGTTCATATTCTTCAAGCTTCTTAGGGTAGCAGTTTAGTGTGATTTCCCCCAGGGGTGCCCAATCCTGGTCCTGAAGATCAACCACCATGGTGAGCTGATTCAGCATGGTCCTACTGGCATGAACCTAGACCAGCACTTCTACTCTGAGAAGCTTAATGGATAAGGACCCAGGTGTAAATCCAAATGGGCTCATCTGGAGTTTACTCTAGTAATAGATGTTATTGAGGTTCTCCAGTTCCTCCTGAATCCTGAGGAGAAGAACATCCCTTAGAAACTCCTGCTGGAACTTCGACTCCATCCCCAACCTGCTCAGTTGATCCTTCTTCATTCTCAAGAGAACTCGACCTGGAGAGAGATCCATTCAGTGTCACCACGTTACTTGACTTGCAGTTTAGCATTTTAAGTATTGTAGAAACAAGCAAATGAAATGTAGCATCATAAGCATGCAATCTAAGTAGTACCTGAGATGGCATGTTTGGCTATTGCCTGCTGTAGAGCTCTGGATTGAGAAGGGTACTGTTCCCTCACCCAGTCAAAAACTTCTGCCACTGTCCAGTAAGACACTCTCTTGGAGACGACCATTGTTTCTTTCCTGTCTGTTGAACATTGAGAAGCCTACTTCAATACAGAACGGTTTAATGTCTATAACATGCCATAAAACCAACATTAGCATTCAGTATTTCAGGGTTTCAGACATGTGAAAATGCAGACAGTCAATCCATCGGTTATCATATGAAGGAGGGTTTAGTTCCTCTTTGTCATTCTTTCCATATGTAAATGGTGTTTAATCAATCAAAACCCCAATTAATAGGGTAATTATGCCACCCAGCATAAACCATCCAGGTGCTTGTTCAGTCTGTCATCATCTCAAGGCTTGACTGCTGTAACTCGCCCCTGGCTGATCTTCCTATGTGGGCCCTTGGAACTGATCCAGAATGTAGTAGCATGGCTTATCTTCAATATTCCTTATGTTCATTCCACCGCTGCATTCTATTCACTGGCTTCCTGTAGCTGCCCGCATCAGATTTAAAACCCTGATGCCTACAAAAACAAAAACGGACCAGCCCCTCCCTGCCTTATGGTAATAGTCAAAATTCAATCTGTACCTCAAGCCCTTCGAGCTTTGAGTAAACTTGGCTTGACCCACCATCTTTCAAAACACATGGAGGACAAGCATCAAGACTCCTCTCTGTTCTGGCACCCAGATGGTGGAACGACTGTCCTAACAACAGACTCTCTTACAGTCTTCAAACACAAACTGAAGACCCATCTCTTTGTGAAGCACTTACTTTAGTGAGCACTAATCTAGGTACCTATTGAAATGCATTGTATTGCTCTTATGCTATGTTTAATTCTGTATCCTTCTTTCTAGGTATCAGCACTGGTCTTGTGTCTGAGCAGAGAGTTTGAACTTAACCTAGAATACATTCTCTGAGTGGACAACAAAGCACTTTTTTATGTCTGGATAAGAATGTCTGCTACATGTCCTAAATGTAAATGTAAAAGTAGCTTTGGGAAGAAGCCCCCTGGGGTAAGCACCCCCAAACCCCCCACCCCACCACCTTATTATTTTCTGTCCTGAAAACTATGGGGCCATGCATGTTCATTTTACCATCTTTACTGTAAATATGTGTCAGTATGTGCTAGTGTACTAGTATAGCTTTAAGCTTTGGCTCAGCTCTAGCCACCTTCCTCACATCTCCAGCAGGAAACTTTCAGCGAAAACTTTTCAGTTTCTTGTAAAATGTCTCTCAACATTTGACTTTTTACAAGGTTGAAGTCAGATCCTCTACTTGCGGCATCTTGTTCGAATTTTCCCATTCCACCTTAAATGGTGCCCGAGGCACCAGAATGTAACTGCTGCACCATTTAAGGTGGAACGGGAAAATTCTAACAAGAAGCTGACAAATGAGAAACTGACTTCAGCTTTGCAACTTTTCAGTGTTTGACAGTTTCTTGCTGTAGATTAAACATATCAGGAAACCAGCTGGAGTGATTATAAAAGCAAATAAGTCCAGCCGTCTCCAAATTATCGATGTTCATCTTAAATTTCTCTCTTTGCCTTTTTGTTTGCTACTAGCTAGGCCAGACTGTTGTCTGTGTTGCTATGGTGACCATCAATCAGCTCCAGAGCCAAATGTTTCCGACACCTGTATTAAGTTGTAGTTTGTGGTTTCGTGGTGGGTTTTAGGAAGAAAACTCTCTAATTTTTCTTTTCAGATTGCCTTTCGGTCAAGATGTTCCTTCAGGAATCTGACTTTTGCTGGCTGTGTCTGGCTATAATTAGCATTAACTAGTTGCTAGTTGCTTTGAATTCTATTGCTTTAAGATCTTTTAATTGTTATTGCAGTTATGGATGCAGCACTGCTGCTACTAAAATAATGAAACATGATAAGAATGCCATTATATGATAATATAATTCTGCGGTTATAAATGAACAAAACTGATATTTCAAACATTTCTTTTTCACCGCTATTTGTCTTTTCTTATCATTTATTTAAAATGAAGTGGAATCAGTAAGACATAGATTGCAAGAGGCCTTAAATTAATTTAAATATTGTCATTTTTTCACTTTTTTTCACATATTTACAACACAGTAACACCAAACACATGCCAAATTGATGCAAAATTCACCAGGTCTGTCTACTGACCCAAGAGAGGCATCTTACTTTTGGGGTAATTGTCCCTTTTTTTGTGCTAAAAATAGTAAATCAACTACTGTTTCAGTTTATTTCCCTAATTTTTACATATGTTTAAGCATCATCATTCTATACATGCTAAACTCACACATAGATACAGTTTAGCTTCACCGTAAATGGACATTTTTCAGAAAGGGGGAATTTTGCCCCATATCCCCCTGCATTTTATTTGACCTTCAACATAGTCAAAACTGATGTATGAGTGCTGCCAAGAGAGAACACACAGCTTAGCCTGTTTCATCCTGCCAAAGGGAGATTTGGAACGAGGGAGGAATCCTTTTAGGAGAGGTTGGAAAAACTTTCATGAATAATGAGTTTAGATCAGGTTCGTTCCAGAGACTAGGTGCCCAAGGGGAGACTGAGTACACACCTACTCTCTGAGTTTTGCATGTAGCCTTGGTGTAACTGAGGAACATTAAGTTGCAAAGTGTGTTTTTTTCCATCTAATCAAGAGTTCTGCAATTAGCTAAGCCAATGCTACCATTGGGCCAGGTTGGAGAAGAGCTTACAGCAAGGAGAGCTCAACTCAGGTCCTGGAGGGTGGATGTCCAGCATATTTTGGTGCTTTTTTTCCTTTCCAACAAACCTCCCAGATCTGGTATTTCAATGATGAGTTGAATCAGATCAACAGGGAAATCTCTAAACTGTGCTGGACTCCATCCAGGACCAGAACTGGACACCTCTGGCATGTGTTCTCAAAAATCTTGCCTCTGGAGCTTTATGACTGAAGATGTTCCAGAATTCTATTGGAGCTACTGAACACTCTATTTGGCTTCAACTCCACAAACAGAATCAGAATTCTCCTTTTCCATTAGTTATGTTTGACCACTGAGTGATTTTGATCTTAATGTCATAATGGGGAATAAAGGCAGGATCATTGTGCATCTTAAAGAACTTCAGTCCTGAAGGTGAAGACATATACAGCGCTCTGAAAGAGTATTTGCTCCCTTCCCAATTTCTTCAAATTTTGCTAATTTGTCACATTTCAGTGTATCACTGTGGAGGAATTTGGTCCACTCACAATTTTTTTGGTTTGGCTACATTGAAGGTTTTTCTGAGCATGAACTGCACATTTAAGGTCTTGCCACAGCATCTCAATGGGATTCAAGTCAGAACTTTGACTGGGCTACTCCAAAACCTTTTTTTTTCTTTCAAGCCATTCAGAGCTGGACTTGTTCAAATCTTTGTCCTGCTGCATAACCCAACTATGTTGAGCTTTGGTCACAAACTGATGGTTGGACATTCTCTTTCAGGACTTTCTGATAGAGAGCAGAATTCATGGTTCCATCAATTATGACAATATATGACCATGAGGAGTCCTCTAGGTCCTGCAGAAGCAAAGTAGCCCCAGACCATCACACTACCACCACCGTGTTTGACTGTTGGTATGATGTTATGGTGGAATGTGGTGTTAGCTTTACGCCAGATGTCACAGGACTCATCTCTTCCAAAAAATCCACCGTTGATTCATCAGTCCACAGAATTTTATCCCAAAAGTCTTGGGGGCCATCTAGATGGGTTTTTTTTGGCAAATGCAAGACAAGCATTTGTGGGTTTTATTTTGGGTCAGCAGTGGTTTGAGCCTCATAACTCTCCCATGGATGTCATTTTTGCCCACTGTCTGTCGTATTGTGGAATCGTATACAGACCTTAACTGAGGCAAGTGAGGCCTGCAGTTCTTTAGATGTTCGTCTTCATTTTTTCGTGACCTCCTGGATAAGTTGTCGTCGTACTCTTGGTGAAATTTTGGTTGGCTGGTCACTGCTTGGAAGGTTCACCACTGTTCCAAGTTTTTTCTGTTTTTGGATTATAACTCCCACTGTGAGTCCCAGAGCTCTAATAATGGCTTTATGACCCTTTCCAGACTGGTAAATTTCAAGGACATTATTTCGCATCTATATTTTAATCTCATTTTTAGAATGTGGCATCATGTGGTGCTTTTTGAGACCTTCTAGCCTGCTTCACAATGACCGACAGGTTATATTTAAATGATCTTTAGATTCAACAGCTCTGAGGAGTTTAATGCCTCTTAAAGCTCCTTCACAGAAAGAGACATTGCTTGAGACATTTCACATCAAACCGGTCTGTGTAATGTTTGACCAGTAAGCAGACACTCATGGTTATAAAACATAAAAGAAGCTTTACTTTGGGGTTCAGGCAGATAAATCGTTGTCAATAAACAGGCATGGGTCAGTTCCAAAGAACACAACAAAAGACAAAGGGCAATCATAACTATCAAGGGAAAAGCAGAGCAGATTCCAAAATACAGAGCGTCCAAAACCGAAATATTCGAAATACCAGGCAACAGAACAAAAGGGCAAATCCAAAAAGCAGCAAAAACGAGAAACAGGGGAAAACACAAGGTCAAAAAACATGGGAGATCACACCAGAAATAATGCTCAGTAGTTTCACTAGGAAAGCAATACCTCGCAATGAACCTGACTATAGCCCGGGCTAAAACTATCTAGACACGTCATGTGATAAAAACATACAGGTGAACATCATCAGTACTCAGGAGAACTTGAGCGGTGATAGGCCGCTGATGATCTTCCCGGAGTCACGTGAGTAGACGAAGGACTCGATGGCATGAAGTCCAGAGTCACGTGAGCAGGCGGAGGATTCTGGGAAGTGTAGTTCATAGGCTGACTAGCCGAATATGTGACAGTCTGAATGACATTGTTTACGTCTCAACCGATGATTTATGCACAAATGTTGAAAAATCTTCTGTTTTATGGTATGATTTGCATTTTACTACAAAGCTCACTATTGTAAATGAACCTTTTGGAGATGGTGGTATTTTATTAGTGGAACTTCATGGTACTGTAATCGAACTTGTAAGTGCATAAACTGCCAGTCAAGAGTTTGAAGACACATTGCATTCTTATGAAATCGAAAGAGGTGATCGGCCAGCTCCAAAAACTGTGGGCCATCCTACAAAAGACTACTGTGAAGAAAACTTTTCCTTTTCTGTTTCCTACTGTTTCGAATGGCTATTCAAAAGTTTGAAATCAGTGTTTTCAGCAGCAAAAACCAATGGTGTTGCAGACAGTTGTATTAACCACTGATTCTAATATCATCATAATATGCAACATTCCCACATTTCCCCAACAAATTATAGGCTGCAAATTAAATTAAAGAAATGTTAAATGGGGGAAAAACAGAGCCTTAACCTCCTCATTCCCAATGTCCAGCATACTGGACATATTTTTCCCAGGTATTGTAGCTAAATAGAAGCAGGTTCATCATCACAATCACTTCTATGTGTTTCTACAGGACTCTTTGTATTGACTGATCATTAAATAAAATGTTTTCTTTTTCTATCTTGTTGTAAACAAAAAAACAAACATGGCAGCTGGTAAAACACCTGAAACACAGAAACATTCAAAATTCTGTTACAAAACCGGGCCATAAAATGTATGTAATATGTGTAATATGTATAATATCATATATAAGTCAATGTAACACGGCTTATGTAATATTTTCCAAGAGTTTAGACATTTTGTGGGACTGAGGAGGATAAAAGTTAGCTAAGGAAGCTGTACCACACCCAGAATTCATTTACAATAATAATTAATTTATTATTTATCAGTATAATATCAGTATTTGTTTAGTATAATATCAATACATATTTAATATTGTCTAGTATATTAAATATACAAGTGATTCCAAATCACAAATATTCACGTGACATTGTTTTTCTCTAAATAAACCTGAATAGTTTTTAAGTCTTTTAGTCTTTAATATGTTAAGCTTTTGCAAGCGGATAAATAAAACATGCTTATTTATTAATACAATTTTTACTGGCTATTTTATTCTTCTTTTATTATTCCATTTTTTGGGTTTGAGGTTGAGACGTATTAGTTTAAATTACCTGTACAATCATGTGGTGTGTTTATTTTCAAGTAATTTCACTTGTCACATTGAAAAGCTGAAAGCTGAGCCTAGTCAGTCTAAACAAGGTGCAGATGAACAAGACAATAAGACCACTTTCCCAGACTGAGCCCAAAACTAGACTAAATCACTTTAAAGTGATGGACTTTTAGCCTGCAATGCAGTTTAGTACAAGACTACATTCTTACAAACAGTGGTTCTTTTGTATAGTTCAATAGTTCTTCAGATTGTTGGAGAATGTGTTGTAAGTAGTTCTACTTGGAACATTGGAAAAGGTTCTATACTGTACTAAAAAGGTACCGTATAGAACCAAGCACAACACATTCTCCATGAACCTGAAGATCAACACTTTCATCAACCATTTCAACCATGCAAAGAACCATATAAGCATGAAATGGTTCTAAATACACTCTTTAAAAAGGTGGTTCTTCAAGGGTTCTTCTTCTTTAGAAAAGGCTATAGTTCTATATAGAACCAAACACTCAAAAAAAAACAAACATCTGCATGCCTAAAGAGTTCTTTGTATAGTGAAATTGTTCTTTAAATCCTTCTTCTTGTATATGGTTCTATATAGCACCATAAAGGTTCTATATGGCACCAAATACAACACGTTCTCAATCAACCTGTAGAACCATTTCAACCATGCAAAGAGCCATTTAAGCATGCAGTGGTTCTATATACACTCTTTAAAGGATGGTTTTTCAATGGTTCTTTAGTAAAGGAAAGGGTTCTAGATAGAACCAGGAACACTCAAATAACCATTTGTATGCTTAAAGTTCTTTGCATGGTGGAGGTTCTTTAGACTGTTTGAGAAAGTGTTGTATATGGCTCTATATAGAACTTTTTTGAGAAGGCTTCTATATAGCACCTTGACATTATAAGCTTGACATTGTAACAATAGAAGAACCTTTTTTTGGTGCTGTATGAAACCATCTTCCAAAAGGTTATATATAGAACCACACACAAAACATTCTCTATCAATCTGAAGAAGCTTCACCATGCACAGGACCCTTTAAGCATGCTAATTCTATATAGAACCTTTGAAGACCATCTTTTTAAGAGTGTCAGCTTAATCTAGGCACTGGAAACCGACCTTTCGGCCTTTAGTGCAGTATCACCTACCTTGTTGTTCTCCCGCAGACATGAACTTTAAAACCCCTTATAAGCCTGGATGATAATTCATAGCTTTTCTCCTTCCTTCTCTTTCCTCCCTCCCTCTCTGTCTAGGCCACCCCCTGCGGAATGCACTCTCACACACACCTGGAGCAGGTGGGGGCGTGAGCTGGGCATGTAGAGGCATGAGGAGGAGCAGGCTGTCTCCAGAGTGGGACGCTCTATAATCCACAGGCTGTTCCTCATATCACCCATGAAGCTGCTTTCAAGTGCTTATCAGATGGTCTGTTTACCTCCTACTTCAGGTCTTCAAGTGCCTTCAAGTGCTTTGTAGTCCGAAACATTGATTAGTTCACTTCCCTGATCTGTTTTGATATCTTCCTAACGTTTTCCTTAATTGTGCAAATGTACAGAAGGCTACCAAATAGTAAAACAATAATAAAATGTTTAATAAAACAGTACTGCATGCTATTCATGACTCTTTTTAATAGGTGATGGTTGATTCAGTATCAGCTGTGGCATCTCAAGAGGGAGCACTAGGTTTGTGTTTTCCCTGGTCTGTGTTTAGTTTATTTTCAGCCCTCAAATATTGCTTCCAAAAGTGTTCAGTCTACGATCACGCAGACAGCCCAGTCTCCATGTGGACAGTCTAGTTTTGGATCTCTGTGTCAGTTTTTGTAATTTGTCAGATTCTGCACTAAGAAAACAATCAATCATCCAATCAATCAATCAATCAATCTGGCAATGACATTCCATTTTCTTTTTCTTAGTAGTCCTGTCACTTATCACACCCATATTTTTCAGCCTCTTAATTATCCAAATAATGCAAAATAATGTAATACAATAAACAGTAAATCAGAAAGAGCTACCACAGACTACGGGGTTTATGAATAAGAGTCACTGCATAAGTAGCAGACAATAACAAAATGCCAAAAAACACAATTCCCACAAAAAGTAGAACCGCAGGGAAACTAATTCCTGCCAGAAAAACATCATCTGTGAAAGTTTTCACAAACTTTTGACTTCTGGCAAAATAATGAGTTATTTTCTCACATTTTTACTTAATATTCCTAACTAATGACTTATCTTCTCAAATTTTTTGATGTATGATGAAATCAATACTTATTTTCTCAAAATAATGTGTCAAAGTAATGATTACATTTTAAAAAGTTACCAAATATTTTAGAACAATAACAATATTCTGAGTACATCAAAATGTAATATTATGATAATAAATCATATCTATATCTATCTATATATATATATATATATATATATATACAAGAAACAGTAAGAAAAACTAAGGAAGAAAAACTTTATTTGTGCTTTACATTGGTTTCAACCTGCCACAGATCCAGTTCTACACAGCGGTCATCGAGTTCATCCTTACTTCAACCATAACCATCTGGTTTGGTTCCTTCACCTCACAAGAATGAGCTGTTATGGAAATTGTATTAATTCAATGTGTTTGCTTTATTGCTTGCAGAGTGTAAGACTATGTACGGGCAAAATACCTTGTCCTCTGACTGAAAGAAATGCTTAGCTGCCTAGATACAGAACAAGATTGGACAAAATATCCTGTCCTCTGCCTTGAAGTGCTTGCTGCTTAGATAAGAAAATAGGAAGCCCCTATGTGCTCATAACCTTGTATGGCTATATTAACAGAAATCTGCTAAATACTGATTACAACAGTTGTCAAATCCTTTCCTTATTTGGTATCCAGTCAACGTCTAGTTTGGGGTATAAGACCCCTATGTAAGGGAGACCGCTCTCTTCTCTTCACTCTCTGGTCTGTATAATTTCTTTCTTAAATAAATAACTCTTGCTTATTCAAAACTTTTGTTCTTCTGATTTGTTCTTCTGTCAGGATTTCCATGACAGAACTTTGGGAATTACCATGACAATTACTTGGCTTCCCTTGGGTGTGCCACACGTGTTCCGGGTTTTTGGATGACGGACGAATTGGAGGATGCTCATGAGATGAAAATAAACTCATCCTTAACCTCCAATGAATTTTGAGTGAAGGCTTTTTGTCGCATCCTGCACCTGGGAACCACTGTGGCTCACCACAAGAAGCACCTAAAATGTATGATCTCTCTGATTTGTTGAAAGTGTTCTCATTAATTGGACTGATTTGTAGAAGTTTCGGTAACTTTTACGTAAAAGGGGAATGAGATTCTCTGCCTGTACGACGGCATTAGGTTGATTTTCCTTGTTTTTGGATAAAATAAGGCACATGGTTTTGACAAAAACATGTGCTGAGATATATAGAATTATGTACTCCACAAGAGGTGGTGATCGCTGTGTACGAGGGAATATATCCACGAAAGAACCGGTCCGATCAGCCTGATCAGATTGAGAACACTGTAAATTTGACAATTTAAATATAATTTAAAATAGAGATTTCTTTTTGTATATTGGTGGTGAAACGCATCCAGGTTTTGAATAACTAAATTCTCAACAAAATAGGAAAAAAAAACAAAGCAAAATATAGACAAAGCCAGAATGTAAAGAAGGCTGTACTTACATAGGACCTAATATTGTTTTCATTCACTATCCATTCGTACCGTGGGGGGTACCAGATTTGGACAAGAACTCCAAATGTTTTGCAAGGAGTTCAGACCCACATCACACAAACTCATAAGGGTCCTGATGGCAAAGATGGGAATGGACTGGTCAAAGATTTCAACTAACTGGCCGAAACAGGAGAAACGCATGGTCCAACCCGGGTGGGATCATGAGGAGGACGATGACTACAGAGAATTAGTCAAAAACCTGACACAGTGCCTTGCAGCTGGCTTCCCACTTTGTATGGACATGATAAAAATCTCAATGTGTAAGCAGGCTGATGAAGAGACTGTTACTCAGTATCTGGTCAGGCTCACAGAAGTCCACACAGACAATGTGGGCTTAAACAAACCAGGCAAACTGGCAGAGAATGGGGGTCAAGTTTCCGCCTGGGGAAGCACACCTCCAGAAGAGCTTCCTGAATGGGATAGAGCCTGCTATATCAAATATGATCAAGAAACTGTGTATGGGATGGGAAACTGAGAGCCTCACCAAAATTGAGCAGTATGCAGTGCATGCTGAAAAACAGGAAGACAGAAAAGAGATCTAAAGACTTCCACAACACCACTTTGACCATGTTTCAGCACCTTCAAGGCCAAGGTGGAGAGAGAGGAAAGGGGACATGGAAGGGGAAGAGGACACTGGGGAGGACGAAGCGGGAGCCAACACAGACTGAATCTGAAGGATGTCATCTGCTGGAACTGCAGGGAAAAAGGACACTTTGCCAATGACTGCACCACAGAATGGAAAGAGGAATTGAAAGCCAAGGCTGACTGGCAGGCGGAAGACGGGGATGGTGAGGCAACTGAGAACAGGAGGGGTAATGTAGACCAAGAACACACACATAACATAAATTGTCATTTGCACAGCTTTTCCTTTCAACCAACTGCCATGTATACCTGTCAGTTGAAAAGGAGGAAAATACAATTGATGGGGAGGAAAACACAATTCCTGGTTGACACTGGGGCAACCCACTCAGTAATACAAATGGCTGAATTTCATGAGATTCCAAAACTCAGCAACCACAGTGTTCACACTGTGGGGGCTACTGGACACTCAGTAGTGGAACATTTCAGTGAACCATTGGGGAGCGAGACTGAAGAGGGGCGCAAAATAAAACATTCATTCCTTGTCTCAAGCACATGTCACATAAACTTATTGGGAAAGGATTTGATGTCTGCATTGAGCTTCTCCCTAGAGTCGGCACCACAAGGGGTCACTGTCATAGAAAATAGCCTGAACTGTGTTAAAGCAGAACCAGGAAGTCCTCTTTATGTATATGAGTGGAAGTTGTGTCCCGACCCAACCACGGAAATCACAGAATTTTTGATAGAAAAGGCAATGGAAAAAATGAGTGGGGAACCCAATATTGAGTATATTTCTCCTCCCGACCTCCATTGCACAGCTTATGTGTATGAGGAAAGGGACGAGACATATGAAAAAGAATGGCTCAGGGAAAATTGAATGAAAAATGAAAAATTGCGAATAACAGAACTGTACTGGGATAAAAATTTCTGTGCATGCCTAGTTGAGCTCACTGGATCAGAGGAGCTTAATTGTGAGCGTAATCAGAAGCAAATGTTTTGTGTGGAATACTCAGCCCAACACATCTCCCTAGCTAAACCAGCAGCAGTTAAATGGAAGGCAATAGGCCCATGGATGCGGAGATGTTCTGATCCTAGGGTGTCTGACTGGATGCTCACAGAAACCCCAAGGTGTCTGGTTCGGTGCTAGGCTGCAAGACTACAAACAGAAAATGCCGTTATTGACACACAGTAAAAGGGAATTGAACATGCACCGAATGACATGGCTAGTGGTATATACTATAGGCCTAGACAAACACAATACCCACTAAAACCGGAAGCTGTGGAAGGGATCAGACCTGTGTTTGACTCCCTATTAAAGTAGGGGTAATTGTTCCCTGTCCCTGATTTACCAGTTCGAACACCAATTTTCCCATAAAAAAAGGCTTGAAAGCCCCCTCAACCTGATGAGTGGAGGTTTGTACAAGACCTGAAGGCAGTAAATTCGGCCGTGGTACAAAGACCCCCAGACGTACGAAATCCATACACAATTCTGAGTCATGTCCCTGGGGGTAACCAAAGGGGTTTCATTAGTCGATTTGGCCAACGCATTCTTTAGTGTTCCTGTATGTAAAGACAGCCAATTTTGGTTCGCCTTTATGTTTGGCGGGAAACCATATACATTTACTCAGCTGTGCCAAAGATATTGTGAAAGCCCCACAATTTATAATCAGGCACTCAAACAGAGCCTACACTCACTGTCCTTAACATCTGGAACCGCACTCTTGCAGTATGTGGATGATTTGATGATCTGTGCACCAACAAGAGAACAGTGTGAGCATTGTTGCAACACCTCGCTAAAGAGGGCCAAAAAGCTAGTCTTTCTAAACTGCAGTTCACCCAAAGATCAATCAAGTTCCTAGGATATGACATCTCAGCAGAAGGGAAGAAACTATCTACAGACAGACTTTTTGCCATTTAAAAGATTCCAAAGCCTAGTACCA